TGTGTGTGTGTGTGTGTGTGTGTGTGTGTGTGTGTGTAGATGGACGGAGGAGTGGACAGAGCTCTTCTCCATCACCCCCATCTGCTGACCTTCCATTTATCTGCAGGTTCAGCTGTCTCTCCTCCAGGAAGACCTTCCTGAGGGCCACAGCCCTTCCACGCACTCCAAGGTAACTTCAATTATACATCTGGACTGTGTCTTCCTGGTCCCCAGACTGTGAGCTGTCTGCTGGCTTCTTCCATCAGTTCATGAAGTTTAAAGGAAAGATCAGGGTTGGGTCAACTCTTATTTCCGGTGGACTCTGTAGCTAGCACAGGGCTTGGCACCAAGGGGTAAGAAGCCGATGTCACGAAAGGTGCCTGGCCACTGAGTATCCCGGGAGGGGAGGGGCACCTCTGCCTCCCCGCTCCCTGCTAAAAGATGACGTTTCTTGGGCCCCAGGCTCATCTGTGCCCTGCCCATCCCCATTACTTGAGTTCTTCCACTTGCTCCCAGTCATGGTCACGAGGGGACCAGAGAGGGATGGTGACTCAGCCCAATTCATCACCACAATGGAAAAACCCAGTCACCTGTCCTCCTGGCAGCAGGCAGGCACGGCGGCCAGCAGCAGCTTCTGCATCTGGAAGGGCAGCAAGCCACACTGCTTTGAAGGTCCTTTTGTCTTTCACCTGCTGGAAACAAGAATCAAGATGAGAAAACATGAGAGCACCACTGGGGGACACTTGGGGCTCACAGTGCAGAGCAAGTCTCGGGGACCGGGGACAACATGTAACTCTGCACCAGGATCCAAGTTACATGGCAGAGCCCACTTCCCTCTTCCTGGCTTCCCTTGCAGCTTTATCAGAGGGCCTGATCTGGGCTCCACCAACCAGATGTGCTCCGGGCTGTGAATTAGAAACGGAAACACAGCATCCATCCACCTGGTGAGGATGGCAGCCGCCTTCACTCTGCTTCCAAGGCAGCTGTAGTCCAGATGGCAGTATCCAGTGTCTGTGTCCACAGGTACTACTAGTCAAAATACCCAGGCCTGGGGACAGCCCTGACAGTGTTAGCACCAGATCAAGGCTGCCTGCTGATCAAGCCTGGCTCCTGCCATCCTGAGTGGCCAAATCTTTTACCTAAGTCCCCTTGTGCCCCACTTAACCAGAATAGATAGCTTCCTGCAGCAAACACCCTGTCTGACATTTCAGTCTGCTTTCACAAGAGAAAAATGGGAGCTTTCTTCTCCAGCCTGGGCATGGCACAGCCAGTCTTTTGCTTATTCTGCAGAGCAGTGACTGTTGAGGCATCTTCCAAGGAACTAGGAAGAAGGCCAAGGACACTTCTTAGGGGCACCCTGTCCCTGCACAAGCTTGGCCCTCTGCTGTGTTCTGCTCCCCTCTGTTAAAACCCCTGCTATCAAGCAGCCTTCAAGCGGCAGGCAGCCTCCACGGGGAACTGAAGATGAAGGACGCCGCTCAGCACAGGGACTGACTGTGGGTTCTCCTCTCCTGGCTCAGCACTAACATCCTGACAGTGTCTCGTCCAGAGCATCTGCTCCCACAGCACCCATGCTTGACTCAACAGTCTCCTGGGGCCTTCTACAATCACCTTTTTTCATCATCTAGCAACTTGCCACACTCTGGGGGTAAATGCAAATCCTGACCCAACAGAATGCTCACTTGAAGTTAACAGGTCATGGGAGCCAAGCAGATTGTATGTATCAGTTCAAGGCCATTACAGGTACTGTGCCTCACACAGACAGACATACCGGAGCTCTTGCCAGGAAGCCTTTTACAACCTCTAGGTCCTGTTTTCCTCCATCTCTAGGCAAGAACTTCAACACACTGGGCACGACTAGCCATTCAAGGGCCAGTGCAACACACACAATTATCGATCTAGGTCAGGGGGATCTTTCTCACGTTAACAACAGTTATACCTCCTGCTGATAGAATTCTGTGTGGCTGCTCGATGGCCTTCACCGTGTCAAGGGCCCACTGGGACTTGCTGAACATGTTTCTATCAGTCTGTGGACTTCTTTCTCTGAGAAATGCCCAGAAGAGAATGCATCCAAAACAAAGGAGGTGACACTAAGGGCTGTGTTCAGGAGGTATTCCCTAGGGTCCCCGTGTCAGGGCTCAGAACTTCAGGGGGACGACAGGCCAGTACTCGGGCTGCTTCCTGTCATATTTCTTGTCAAAACTCAACTGTATGGAAGCCTCGATCTTGGGAGCACTCATCCCGGCCTGGCTCTGTGCACCGGGCTTCTCTGATGGGGGCTTCACTGACGGGTGGTCGTTGTGGTACAGATCACAGTCGGTGTTCACAGAGCCACCCAGGCGCTCCACACCCAGATTTTGCTGTTGCCTTCGCTCTTCTCTGCGCTCCTCAGTCTCCGAAAAGTACTGGCGCTGCTCCTCGGTGATTTCCATATTGCTCAGGTCATCTGACTCTGCCTCCTGCGCTTCCTCTTCACACAGTGCTCCGTCTTCTCTTGTGGATGCCTGGGTCCTACTGCTGTCATACAGAGGCTGCCCAGAGCTTTCGGAATGTGAAGACATGTAGGGCGACGACTGCCAGGCCACGTGCTGGGCTTGGAAGGCTGAAAGACACCCAGCTTCAAAAGCACGAGGGCTCCAGGGAAGAACTGCTTGAGGCAAGAACCATGGGAGAATGAAATAGGAGACCCTGGATTTTCTGTAGGCATCTGGTGGCGGTGCATCCAAGCCATTGCATGATAATAATGTTGCCAGTCTTGTGCATATACTGGGTGAGAACATGGCTCTCCATCTTGATGTCATTATTGATATCTCTGATTGGAAAATCCAAGTAGGCATCTGTGGGCACAAGGCTCACACATGTCAGGCAGTGGAATGTCAGGCAGTGGGTATTTTATCCTGTGACTTGTTCTGAAATTCTCCAGAAGGGTAGACTTTGGAAAGTCTGACTCTATGAGGCAGTCATGATAATTTTATTATCATCATCCATAATAGCAGCCACTTATTGAACACTAAAACCATGTATCTGGCAAGACACTAACCATGTTCTTCATAGTCTATCATTTACTTTGGGGTGGTATGTATGTGTGTGGTACATCACCCGGCCCTGCTTGCCTCGAGTTGACACGGGGTGTCTCCGTTTTACTTACTGAGGCAATCTCGCTCAGTGAACCTGTAGCTCATCATCCAGCTAGCCTAGCCAGCAGGCCCCCACGGATGCAAGCCTTTGCCTCCTGAATGCTGGGAGTACAGATGGCCACTGAAGGGACTCTGGCCAGCTGGAGCAGGACAAGCATGGCTCCGGCAGGCCTTGTCCTTCTCCCTGATTCCTTCTGCCTTGCTAAAAACCATTGGAGTACATTCCTAAAGCTAGCCCCCAAGGTCTGTTCCCTTATTTGGCCACTTCCTCCTCCTGAGGCTGACCACCAAGGTCCAGCTATCAAAGTATTGAGGTCATAATCAATCAAAAACCCCCTCCCTTTGACTACCCTAATTAACATGTCCAATCAAAATTAAACACCTCATCCTAACACGGGGTTTCCCCTTGTACCTTTATAGACCGCCATTTTCCTGTGAGCCATGTCTCTCTCCTCTCTACCCAGAGGCAGTCCTTTGTTCCTCTGGGACAAATTCCCCTGCCCCCTCTCCCTCATTCCTGTCTCCTTCTCCCTCATCCTCTATCGCCTGTCTTTGTCTGTTATTCCTGCCCTCTGTCCCTCTGGGGCAAATAAATCTCCTTTGTGCCGAGAATTTGGTCTTGGGGGTCCTAAGCCACTACTTTCCCTGTCAGTCACCATGGCTGCTGGGCTTTATGTGAATTCTGGGGACCTTAATTCCGTTAGCAGGGCAAGCGCTTTATCCTGAGCCATGTCCTCTGTAGCCCCTGCCCCATCATTTAATTCTTACAGGAGTCTTCTGAGGTCAATTCCATCCCTGTTTCAGAGTATGAAGAGGCTGGAAGAGAGTAATAAGCCAGAAATCACAGGGGTGAAAATAACTAAATGAGCATACAGTGCTTCAAAGTGCGGACCCCTACTTCTACCTACAGAAAGAACCACAGCCCAAGGAATGAAGGACATTTCAGAGATGGTTCATTCTGTCACCAGACTGCCCCACCCCAGCTCTTTAACAAAGGAAGACACTAAGAGGGAGGGATTTCCCAAACCTGCAGAAACCAAGCTTGCTGCATTGGTCTCAATGCTTATCCAAAGCACCACAAGCTGTGAACAGGGATATGTGCCCCACCTGCAGCCATCAAAATCTCAGCAGCTTCTCCAGCGGGCAGTGCAGTTAATTCACTGACACTTCAGGTGCTGGCCACCTGGAGCCAAGGCCAGCGTCTCAGTAGTCCACGCTGTGCAGACACGGGACCCTCTCTCGGAGCCCGCCCGAGGTGAGGAGGTGAGGAGGTGAGCCGTGGCCGGGACGCTGCAGACTGCCTGGGTCTGGGCCAGGCTGTCGGTCTTCCCGCCGGGGCTCCCGCCCACTCCCACAGCCGGTGACAGCCCCGGTCCAGCCACCAAGCGGGACTCGCGGTTCGGCCCACGCCCACCCACCCACGTGGGCACGCCCCCGCGGCGCGGCGCCCCGCCCCCAGCTCCGGGGCTCGCTTGTGCGGGGGATCCTGCACCGCTCGTGGGCGGCGGCGTCCAGGCCCGGCTCCCGCCTGCGCGGCCGTGTCGCTCGGCAGCCTGGGTGAGTCGCCGCGCCCTCACCCCTGTCCTCCCTCTCTCGGTGCAGCCACACTGCAGCCCCGCACCTTCTTCCGCGGCCACCTCCCGCCCACGCGAGGGCGACGCCCTGTCTTCCCAGCCATCCATCCCTCGCCGGCTTGGCTGGGACCCCCGGAGACCGCGGGCACTTGTCCTGCCGGGGGCGGCAGGCGTCTTTATTCGCGCGGGGCCCCTCCCGCGGTGCCACACTCCCCCCCTTTCGGCGCTCACCCCGGCCAGGTGGCGGCGGGTGCCTTTTGGGGTGCGCGGCTGTGCCATTGGTGGATTTTTTTAAACCCTGCTGGAGGGGGCGGTGAGCGCTCCGCTCTCCCGGCTGCTGCTCCCGCCGCTCCGGCTCTCCCGCCGCTCCTCTCTGCGGCTGCCGCGCGCCTCGCCCCGGGCGGCCCAGCGCGCTCCTCCCCGGACGCCGAGATGAAGGTGCTGGGACACAGGCTCCAACTGCTGACAGGTACCCAGCCCGCCGCCGATCGATCGCCGCTGCCGCTTTCCGACTGGGAGCGGGCTCGAGGCGCGGTGGCCCGGGTTGGAAGGGACACTCCCGGGTGCGCGTTCCCAGTGGAGCGAAACCTGAGGCACACCGGGCTCTACCGAGTCCCCCGCGCCGGCGTCTGGGAGGGTGGAGCGCCTGCGCCGCGGGATCGCAGACCGCGGGAGAGGCCCCCGAGGTGTCCCGCCAGCGGAGCTCCCAGCAGCATCCCCCAAGGAGCTCCGGAGTCTGTCTTCCAATCAACTCTGGCGTGTCCCCCGAGAAAGCAGCCCTGGGCCTCCTGGGGGAGCGGGGAGAACCTGTGAAGGGCCTCTTCCTGCTCTCCTGTGATGGTCAGAACCACCTTTCTCTCTGGGGAGAAGTTTCTTGCTGGAAGTAGAGTCAAGTGGCCTGGGAAGGTGGAAGCTAGGTTAAATCGTGATGGCTGGGGCCATCCACCTTGGGGCCACCGGGGAGAAGAAACCAGATGTCCTGCTGAGGGCATCCTGGGGCCAGTGGCTGGAATGTCTTGGAGAAGATAGATGCCTAGAGGAGATGGGAAAGGGAGGAAGGACAGGGGCCAGGTGTCTGAACGGTAGATGCTCCTCACACGTGAAGCCCAGCAGCACTGGAGGCTTCTGTGTTCAGGGTGGAGGTGGACACCTGGGCTGGAGGTGACAGCCCCTGTCCAGACCCCATTGGACCCAGCTGGGCCTTTGTCAGGTGCTCCACCCATGTGTACCTGATGAACATATTCCAAGAGATGCCTTCCGACACCTGGGGTCCTGGTAGAACACAGGACCCTTGCTGTAAGGTGAGGAAGGGGCCGCAGCCCTGCGTGTGTACTCAGGAAACGGGATGAGATCAGGGGCAGGGAGCAGAAGGGTTCCAAGATTAGAGCAGGCGGCTGCTTTGAAAAGCACTGAAAGTAGAACTTTCTGTTCATGGAAAGGGAGGTCACATTTCAAGCTGAAGAGTCAAGGGGTGGTCTGTGTGTACCCTAGGGTGTGAGTGACTTGATCTGGGAGTGGCGTAGCACTGGAGGGCCTGTGTGTGTGTGTGTGTGTGTGTGTGTGTGTGTGTGTGTGTGTGTGAGCGTGTGTGTGGTAGGGATGGTGGTGGATGGAGTTACAGGAGGGAAGTAGGTGAAAATTTGGTCTGTGTGTGTGTGTGTGCGTGTGCGCGCGCGCGCGTGCATGTGTGTGTGGTGGGGTGTTAGAAGAGGAAAGTAGGCCAGATGAGGGTTTGGGCTGTATGCTAAACCACAGTGGGCCGTGCTGGGCTCATAGAGAAGGGCAGGTGGAGATTTCCTGGGGCCTTGAGAAGGGCAGGTGGAGATTTCCTGGGGCCTTGGAACCCCTGGCTGGGTGTTTTTGGCGCCCACCACCTCCTTCCAGCTTTTCCTTATGGCACTCACTGAGACAGACCTGGCCATTCACCTTGAAGAGAGCTGTAGCCACATTAACTTCCCCAAAACACTCAGACTGGAGGAGAGGGTCTGTGAAGCCTGGGGTTCAGAGTCCTGCTTCAGGGCAGAACCAGGTCCTCTCATCCCCATCTGGCCCTCAGAGGGAGTGGATAATATAATGATGGCCCCACAGTGGGGGTCTGGACATTGGTTCCGTGTGCAGGGTGCTCTCAGGCTCTCGGTGAGCTGGGGCAGGCTTTCTGAACCCTGGCCAGGTTTCCACAGGACTCTTACTGTCGTAAGCCCCCCAATGTGCTCGGCCCAGCAGTGGCCAGGTGTGGTGGCACACCTGTAGTCTTGTCACCCGGAGGCTGAAGCATGAGGATGGTGCGTTTAGGGCCAGCCTGGGCTATGCCATAAGTTCTGCGTCCCTTCTTGTTATCTCCCTCAACACCTCCCCTCCCCCAGCCCCCTTTGGTCTTCTTCCTGTCTCATAGGTTTGGATTCAAACTCTAGCCACAGATAGTAGTGATCTCAAACAGGCTGTTTAACCTCCAGCTTTTTTTTTTTTAAGACAGGGTTTCTCTGTGTAGCTTTGGTGCCTGTCCTGGATCTCGCTCTGTAGACCAGGCTGTCCTCGAACTCACAGAGATCTGCCTGGCTCTGCCTCTCGAGTGCCAGGATTAAAGGTGTGCGCCGCCACCACCTCGATACCTCCAGCTTATTGTCTCATAGAGACACCTAAGAGATGTCATGAGGTCTTCTGAGACAGAGAAGCATCTGGCAGGTGATCTACCTTGGTCTCTGAGCTCACTCCTCAGTGCCCTGAGGTCTCCTGTCCCCTCTTCTCCACAGTATCCAGTCCCCTCCAGGGTCTCCTAATCCCCTCATGGGCTCTCTGTACAGTAGGCCTCTGAGGACCAGGAAATCCCACTCCCTCACTACAGCCCAGCACCCCAGTGAAGCAGTGGTGTGTACTGAGATGAATGAGCTGGAGAAGGAAGAGTCGGGGTCCCAATTCCAGTCCCCAAAGGCAGTTCTGTGCCTCAGTTTCCCCTCAACAGGCCCACCAATGATCAGGCACTATTTAAATGTATCCTGTAAAACTGTGGGAGACACTCCATGACTATGGTGGTTTGAATGAGAACGGTCCCATAGCCTCATATACTTGAAAACTTAGTCCCCAGCTGGGAGGAGTGGGGTCAGGAAGTGGGGTTTCCAGGTCCTCAGATGTGGGGAGATGGACACTCTGTCCCACTGTATGGAAGAGAAGCTGGTACCACTCTCATGAAGAGCAAAATTGGTAGTGGTGTATCAGGTCGTAACAATGTGTGATTGTGCCCCTGCAGTTGAAGTTTTAGGAACAAATCAGGGTGAGCACAGAGGTGTCCACTGAGGACGCCTGTCATTATTCATTGGAGAAAGTGGCCAGAGCCAGTTTGAAGCAGCTGTGGACACATGCACTGCCAGAGGTGGTTTACCCGCCACACAGGTGTCCCCTGCAGACTGTGTGATGACAGGTATGTGGTGACAGGTATGTGGTGACAGTGGTGGTGACGGCTGGCAGGTATGTGGCATTCTCCGCTTGTTCGGGCGCAGTCTGAGGTGCCATCACGTGAGCAGCGTCCTTCCCCTTTTAAGGGAACTGAGGCACAAAACAGAAAAATCACTTCCAGGAGGTTACGTAGAGGACTGGCTGGACTTCAGCCAGGAGAGCTACTCTAGAGTCAGAGACGTTTCCTTAGAACCCCATTTCCTGTGTTAAAAAGTAGCATTTTCATTTTCAAGGCTGGAGCTCTTTAGCCCCAAAACAAAGCTTTTTCGGGGTGGTTATGGGCATTGAAAAAGCCATGGTGAGTAGATGGCAGAAATCACGGCGCCTTTCCTCTGTCTCCCAGGACGTACACAGTTTTTACTACTTCTTTCCTCATTTTTCTGGTGAATGCATGTTACATGAACATCAAGTTTACCTTTTTTTTTAAAGGCAGACTCTTTTGTAGCTCAGGTTGGCCTTGAACTTAGTATAAACTGAAGATGACCTTGATATTCGGATCCTCCTGCCTCCACTTCCCAAGTGCTGGAGTTATGAGAGTGTGCCACCATGTCCCGTTGGTATGGTGCTGGGGATTGAACCCATGATTTAAATTCACACCAGGCAAGCCCTGTACCAACCGAGCAGCATCCCCAGCACTTAAGTTCTGCTCTTGCAAACTGAGAACTAGCCAGGCATGACCGTTCACACCTGTGATCCTAACACTTAGGAGGCTGAGGGAAGATGGTAGGTTTGGGCTAGCCTGGGTTACAGAGGGAGATAGCCTCAACAAAAATAAAAATACAGATAAATAAAACTGAAAACTCGCAGATTCAGGAGAGAAGTGTGAGGGCTGTGGTTCCAAGGAAGCTCGTCCGGCAAGCTCAGAGAGAGTGCTAGATCTGTCTTGCTGAGGGGGAGATCTAGGGATGAAGTCGGTCTAAGGGCATGTGTGAGCTGGCCTTCCAGAACTGAGGGGGAAAAGATTCTGCAGCCAAGTGAGCATCCCAGGCAGAGGTAGAGCTACAGTATGCATTTTCCTACTTTCCGCCTCATAGCATAAATACATACCTCAGTTTCCCCTTTATGTATTCAGGGTGTACTAGCCAGAAGAATGGCCCTAAGCGGGTATTTTGACCTTAGTCCTTCGAACCTAGGAAGGTTAGCATACATACTAAAGGGACCATGCTGATGAGATTGAAGATTTCATCTGGAGAAAGTTCCTGGATTAGCAGGTGGGCCCTCTGTGTACCTACTCCCCCCTACCCCCCGTAAGAGGTGGGCAGAAACTGTCCTAATACAGAAACAGAGGCCCAGAGCAAGCTGCTCTGCTGTTGGCCAGGTGATAGGGAGGGCCACCGAGCCAAGATGGGAGGAGCACTGCCTGGAGGAAGGGAGGAGTCTGCCTCCCAGACCCCTTGACTTCACCCAGCAGTGCTGATTGCAGGGCTTCAGCCCTCCAGAACTGTGAGGGAGTCAAGTTCAGGTCATGAAAATTCATCTTGATGACGCCACCAAGATAATGAAGATTTATCAGACCTGGTACTGGAAAGTGACCTTCTGCGGAGAAGGTGGGCAGGTCCCTCAGGGTTGGGGACTGCCGGGATGCTTCCCATCAGCCCTGGCTGTATGACCTGGAGCTGAGCTTGACTGTACCCCGATGTAGTCCTCGGCTCAGCTGAGAAAGCTCCATGGAAGCCTGAATTGGCTGTGTGCATCCACCCTGTCTGCCACACCCTAGTCCCCTCAGGTACAGAAGAATGTGTACACACACACACACACACACACACACACACACACACACACACACACACAGAGAGAGAGAGAGAGAGAGAGAGAGAGACAGACAGACAGACAGACAGACAGACAGAGACAGAGAGACAGACAGACAGAGATAGAGAGACCCACACTCTTCCTGGCTCTTAAGCCTTTGAAGTCCAATCTTTGGATGAAATGTCTGCTGCAGAGTGACTGATGGAACACACATCTTTGGGACATACCAGCTTCTTCAGCCCACTTCAGGCAGGTAGCAGGGTTGGTACTATGCCTGTGGGTGTGCCCCATCCAAGGCAGGTGGGAAGAGACAGGGGCCTCAGTCACTTTGGAGGACACAGAGGAAATACTGGGTGTCTTTCTCCAGAGTATGGGCATGGCCCCATAGCTGAGTCTAGTGTTTGTAACCTTCAGGCCATACTCTGTATCCAACATTGTTTCCCCATGACTCTGGTGGCCAGACCTTGGGTACCAGAAATGGCTTTTAGCAGTGTTAACCCCTTGATACGCTGTGGTGGATGTGCCTGGTAGGCTGGGGTGGGGCCAGGACCCTTCCCGTGGTGAGGTGATCCTTGTAGATAATGCCCAAGCCTGCTCCTCACCCACATGGCAGGGTGCTAGGCTGTTGATGCCAAAGCCTTCCCAGCTGTGGGGTGCTCTCTGGCACATGACGGGGGTCAAAGTTGACTTGGGGGTTCACCACCATGGCTCAGGAGGCACCTTTGGCAATTCCTGTATTTGAAGAGCCCTGTACTGTCCTAGAGTGGATGGTGGTGTGCCCATTGGAATGTGGGGAGAACAGCCTCTCTCCAGGCCGGAAAGACCCCCTGAGCCCACTGTATGACTGTGTGTGTGGTTTCCGTAGGGACAGATGCTGAGCTTCACTTGGCCCTTTGAGCCCAGGACAGGGGGGACTTGGAAAGGCAAGTTGGGCTCCACTCTTGTTCATTTGGTTGTTGGGACCGGCAGATTCCTTAGGCCCTTCCTCATGACGGATCATCCTCTGATGCGCCCAGCAAGGAACTCTTCCCTGAGGATTCCAACAAAAGCCTGCTCTGAGTGGAGGTCCGGCCTCACCCTGAGCCCTCTCTAAGACGTGGCCGTGTGCCCCATCCACTTGGCTTCCATAGAACATCACTCTGGTCCTCATACTCACCTGTGGACTCTGTCTGGTCTCCGAGTTCATGTTGGAAGCGCCAGCCTCCCGAAGACCTGGGTACACACTCCACTCTTCTTCATTTTTCTGCCCTGTCTCTCCTCCACCTGGCCCATGTCTGAAAACAGACACCTTCCCCTTCCCCTGGCCTCTTCTCCCCAAGATTTTCCCAGTGACCCAGAACAAGTGTCAAGCCACCCTGCCCTCTGCCTACCCCCCCCCCCCCCCCCCCGTGTCTTTCATATCTGAAGGCCCTGCTGTTTCTGCTTAAAGCACCCGGCTCAGAGGGCTTCTTTCATCCCATCTGGTCTCATACTTTCTGTGTAGCTGAGGATGATCTTGAACTTCTGAACTTCGGCCTCTACCTCCCAAGTGCTGGGGTTATAGGAGCCACCTCGGGGCCCTGCCTCAGTTTCTCTATCAGCTTTCAAGGCTGATGTGACTGGCTCTACTCCGCCTTTTCTGCTCATGCCCTGTCCTCTCCCCCACTGCTCTGCTCCAATTGCCTGTTTCCTTTCCTTGAACCCACCAAGCAGACAAGCACTCACCTTTGACCTTGGTTGTTCCTCTATCTTGGATGCTCTTCCCAGACTCCCAGGCCTTCTTCTTGCCTTCCTCAAGCCTTTGCTTATGTCTCTTCAGCAAGGTGACACCTCTAACCACCCTGATTTAAACTGCAACCCCCAGTCCGCACTCTGTCCCTTCCGTGGCCTCCATCTGCAAAAGCACACAGATCTGACAGTTGTTTGCTCTGCTCCAGCCCCACACAGGTTGGAATCTGTTGTCAGTGTTTTCTCCCTAGTTCCTGAGACAGGGCCTGAAGCCTACAGGTCTCGTATCTCTTACATGACTGAGACCAAAGATGGTTCAGATTTCAGAGTTCTTAGAATTGGGGATGTTTGACTGTTCTCATGGAGCATCCCTGGCCACCGAACCCAGGGTCTGCAATGCTCAGATTAAAACTTTGAGTGTGGGGTGGGGTGATCGTGTGTGTGTGTGTGTGTGTGTGTGTGTGTGTGTGTGTGTGTGTGTGTGTGTGTATCACACGCCTTTAACCCTAGTGCTCGGGAGGCAGAGGCAAGCAGATCTCTGTGAGTTGGAGGCCAGCCTAGTCTACAGAGCGAGTGCCAGGACAGCCAGAGTTACACAGAGAAACCCTGTCTCGGAGAGAGGGAAAAAAAACTTAAAAACAAAACCTTGACTGTCATGTGGATGTTCAGAGAACAATAGACCTCAAATGATGCCCTCCAAAGTTTCCAAGTTTAACTGGATGAGGTGGCACACACATGTGACCGTCCCTGGGCAGCCGAGGCAGGATGGAGAGGTCAAGGTCATATCTCAGAGCATTGCAGGCCTTCACATTTGTGAGGTCCACCAGTGACCTGTGCCCAGATTATGTCTGGCCGGTGAATGGCTTGGGTCACCTGCTCACCACTGGGCCACCATCATCCCTACCTAAAGCACGTAGATTAAGGATTTCAGACCCTCCAAGGGAGGCATGGATGCTGCCACATGAGGAGATGACACAGGTGGCATCCTCCTACAGACCGGGCACTTGAGAGGAGGAGGCTGGCAGGTGGTTGGCGCCGTGCGGTCCTTTTCCGTGGGACATCGATTTCTAAAGTGCTAATTAAACAGGTGGTTTGGAGAGGCCTTGGTGAGGAAAATGCCCTTAGGAAGGTGTGTGTCAGCCTCTGTCCTGAGAGCGTGTTACAGAATCTGGGCTAGGGGAGGTCTGCTGCCTCAGCTTATCACCTTTCTGAATCCTGCACCAGGATCCGGGACAAGTGTGTCTTGGTTTCTGGGAAATTCGCCAGGCCGGGCAGACACAGCTGAGTTGAGTGGGATGCCTGTGCTGAGGAACTTTGAGAATCTGTGACGAAAGCGCCAAACGAAGCTTTGAACTCGGGTAGGTCGCGGTTACCCGTGCGGGTGCCAACCAGTGCAGTCCTGTGAGCTGTGGGCCAGGGATGGGAGCTCAAGACCCCCGGAGAGAATGTCAGCAGGGGACTGTTGTTGCTGTGGGGATGTAGTGGGTGGGAGACTGCCGTGGGCTGACTGCAGGACCAGGAGCATGGGCACTTCCTGTGTGCATGTGGAAAAGGCCCGCCCGTTCCCTCCCTGTGACCTCTTTGTGCATGTAGGGTGGGTCTCTTCGCCAAGAAAAATTGTCTCAAACGTACATTAGTGTCAACTGTATGTGACAGAAACCCGATGACAGTCACAGATGAAGCAGATTGTCCCCCTCTTCCACACGGGGCCTGGATTCCTAGTTACCTGTGTTGCTTGGGTGCTGCTCTATCTATTGCCCCTGTCATTCCTCGCATCCTGCCTCTGCATCCAAGGTGGCTGCTCAAGCTCCTGCCATCATATCTGCGTTCTAGCCAACCGGCAGAAAGAGCCAAAGCCCGGTTTATCTCGGGCCAGTGAGATGATGGTTCACTGGATAAAGGCATTTGTCGCGGGGCCCGATAACCTGAGTTCCAGCCACCGAAACCCGAGAACTGACTCCCACAAAGTGTCCTCTGACCTTCACAAGCAGGTTATAGCACGTGCACACCCATCCATGCACACACCAAAACAAAACAACGATATACCTCATCCTTAAAGAATGCTACGCCCAAGTCGCATGCTACACACTCAGATGTTACATCTCACGGTCATGAGTATCAGTCCCATTGCCCACCTGCTCATCTAAAATTCTGGGACCTCTCAGTGAGGAAAGGGGGACAACGGGTATCGGGTTGGCATCATCTCTGCTGAAGCGGGACCCTGCTTGGGCTCCACACAGTTGCTGCCAGTGGATGTGGTTAGGATTTCTGTTCCCTGTGCCCTGGGTCTAGGGACTAGAAGGTTCCTGCCTGGAGCTGTGTTGTCTAGAGGAACGGAGTCACACAGTGGTGCTGTGCCTCCACTTCCAGCTTCAGAGAGAGCCGCTGGCCATCTTGAGCGCATGCTTGAAATCTGGCCACCTCTGAGGCTGGGAGCACCCCACAGTTCATGGCAAGTTGGCAGCACAGCTCGGCTGCCCTTGCTGTCTCAGGAGCCTGGAGATAGTAGAGCGGTGTCAGCAGCACAGTGTGCTCTGGAGAATGCTGCTGCAGAGACCGGGATGGCAGGCGGGGACCAGCAGCAGTGAGAGGACCCGAGGCAGGGATTGGAGGGCAAGGAAGCTGAAGCCATTTATGTCCCCGTTTTCTTCGGAGGCCTGTGAGGGAGCTGGATTGTTTGTTTGGTTTGCTTTGGTCTCTCTATGTGGCTCTAGCTGTCCTGGAGTTCACTCTGTAGACCCGGCTGGCCTCAAATTTGCAGAGATCCTCCGGCCCCTGCTTCTGAGTGCTGGGATTAAAGGCAGGCACCACGCCCAGCCGAGGGAGCTGTTATTAAAAGTCAATCTTAAAGTTCCAAACAGTCCGCTGTGATTTCAAAGACAAATCCATGAGTGGTGAGAACTCACAATGGACTGGGAGACACCCCACAAGTGAGGACCAGAGTTCAGCCCCCCAGAACCCGTGGAAATGCTGCCATCTGTAATCCTAAGGAAGCAAAAAGATTTGCAGAGTAAGCTGCATGACTGAGATGGGAACTCCAAGTTTAGGGGAGACCCTACCTTGATGTGTGAGGTGGAGCACCATCAAAGAGAACACCTGATGTCACCTTGATCCTACACACACACACACACACACACACACACACACACACACACACACACACACACACACACGTCCCTCATCTTGTAGGCGACAATTCTAAATCTTTTTGTACCTGATGAAATAAAACATGATGGATCCCCCAGCATGCACAGGCCCCAAGTTTGATTTTCAGCACTGACAAAGAAAAGGATAATATAAGCCAGATTTCTCACCATTTGATAAAGGAAAGAAGCTCGATTAAATCTGTGGTGGTGTCCAACTGTACTTAAAGGAGTTAGAAGTCTAGTTCCAGGCTCCTTGTATGGTCACAGGAGGATGGATGTAGAGCAAACGTTCATGTTAGTACCGTACATCCCCTGGCTCTGGGCAGATAGGACCTGGAGCAGTGATACTTGTTTCCACATCCTGCTTCCTAAACCGCATCCTCTGTAACAACAGCCTGGGACCCTGGAGAAGAAGGTGCCATGGGGCATGCAGAGAACCCTAGAGAAGTATGTGCAGTGCCAAATGCAGCCGGACAGTTAGTGGTTGCTCAAAACGTGATGGGTTCGTGTTGAAAGGACAAAGTGCCAACTGAGAAGGGATGCGAGGTGGCCAAACAGAATTTATGTTCTGTGGAATCAATCTCTAAGAGTCTGTTGTGGTATGGTGAAATGATGGGATGGATAGCTACATGGAGGAGAAAGGGTAGCCCTTTCTCACAGACTCCCAGCTAGCAACTGGACAGAAGGATGGAAATAGAAAATTATCATTTGACCAACGCCACAGTAAGAATTGTGGACAAGAGTCATCAAGGGCTACTAAAATTAGCCTGGGAAAGCATGAGAAGAAAGGGGGTGTTGGCGGAGTACCTTCCTGTGTGATAACCAGTTACAAAGAGAGATAGTTCCAGCAGCAGAGAAGCCCAGCAGGTGACACCTCCCATCCACGATCAAGGTCGCCAGCCCCTGTGGCGGCGGCTCGGAGCAGCACCATGAGTCCACTGGCCAGGCAGGTCTGAGCCCGCACGCGGTTTCGCCTCTGTCCTTGCCCCAAATGCCTGACATTGAACCTAATCAAGATCGAGCACAGACTGAGGGCATTGTTCAAGTTCACTGACCAGACTTTCTTCCAGAGTGTCACAGTTAGGAAAAACCAAGGATGGGGCCTGTGCCAGCTGGAGAGTGAGGAGCCGTGACAGCCAAGTGTTACTAGGTCCTGAACCCCCGCACCCCAGCATCAGGCCTGCTGACAGCGCGGTACCCATGCTGTCTTTCATATCTCTTCCAACTATATTTGTGCCTCCATAGCATGAGACCATTGTGGGAAGCTGGGCCAAAGGTGTGCATGGGAAGTTCTGGAGTGTGTGTGTGTGTGTGTGTGTGTGTGTGTGTGTGTGTGTGTGTGTGTGTGTTATAGTTTATCTGTAAGATAAAGTGGGGGAAACACTATGGTTTATTGCAAGTGGTTTTTGTCCTCATCGATGTGTAAAATGTGTTGCCTATGATCCAGTGGTGTCTTAGAGGAGATGAAATTTGATATATGGAATAGAAACCTGTTTGATCACCTCCAAACCAACACCCTTCCTGACAGGTGAATTGTTACTTTACCTGGAGTCATGTGCGGATTTCGTTTTGATTTTGCTGACACAGGCACCTGCTTGGTGCATATTTCTTACATAAATGGGATTTTTTTTTTTTTTTGGTTTTTCGAGACAGGGTAAATGGGATTTTTTTTTTATACTTACTGTGTGGCACATCCTTGTCCCTAACTGTGTGTTTCAGAGTGACGCTGTCTTTTTTAGGGTTGCATGACATCCTAAGCGTGGGTGCTCTCTATGTAAGTGGTCTTCCGTTCTCGTGAACTGCTTGAGCATTTTCATTCTTCTAGCAGAGTTTGGGGGTCCTCAGATACGTCTCTCAGCACACCTATGGCATTTCCTTTAGGCTTTGTACCCAGCCGCAGAATTACAGCGTTGGCAGGCTACCAGGCTGCCCCCAGCAGTCCCCTCCCCGCCCTGGAGGCCTCACTGACAGGAACTAACATCGTCTTCCAGTTTGTAGCCAATGAAGAACATGATAATGGCTGGGGTCGGGGAGCAGACACTTGTAGGAACCCCGTGAGAAAGCAGGAGAGCAGGTCTCTTTCAGGTCTAGAACAAACCCAGGGGCAGCAGTTAGAGGGGAAACTGGAAAGCCAGCCAGAGAAGAAGCATCCTATGTCCTCAGGTCCAGCCTGCATCTCCCCAGGGAGGTGGAACCCCTGCTGCATGGGGACGTTCCCGGACCCTCCCCGGGTTCACAGCACCTTCCCTGGAGCACGCCTCTCCTTCCATGCTGTCTTCATTAGTGAGATGGAGACACTGAAGAAGGGTTCCCACCCTCTGTGGTCAGGATAGGGAAAAGGGGCAGGCAGCATCCAGGGGGGATGGCTCCGCCCCCTAATGAGAAGAAAGGGGGTGGTTCTGGGGTTCAGGGTCAGGTGTGGTTGGAGCAGTGGGGGACCCTGGACCAGCCACATCTGGAAGGGTGTTGGGATGTGCAGGTTTGGTGGCTGTCCTTGTGACCTCCTTCCCTGTGCTGGGGACCCCTCCCCCGAGGGCTGTTGGCCTTCTGGTGTTTGTTCATTTGGCTATTCTTGTGATGATAGGCCTTGTAACTGTCAGGAATGCAGCACAGCTGGGCAGCAGGGACTGGCCTTGATCTTGACTGGCCAGGTGCCCTCGTAGGTGGAAAACAGACGCCTCCCTCAGTCCTCTCTTCCGCCTTGGCGTCCCTGGAACACCTGGACGTCGTTTGTCGTTTGTCGCCTTGACGCTGCTCAGGTCTTGTGACTCCCTTCTAGTGTTTCTGGGTGGGCAGTTAATGGGCTCTCGGGGGGCAAGGAACACCCCAGGACAATGAATGTTGGAAGGAGTCCCACTGGGGAGACACTCTAAAATCCCCATATGTATCTCCAGCATCCTTCCCCTGCCTGTCCTACACTGACTGACAGGTCCACCTAGAAATAGCAGGGTGGGGCCTGACTAGTACTTGAGCGGGAGACAAAAGTCTAACGTTTCAGTTTTTCTTTCTTCCATGTGGTGCTGGAGACAGGAAGTAGAGATCCCCTCCGGATGGGCACCGCACAGCTACAGCCCAGCCCAGCATGGCCTCATGCAGCTGCGGTCTCTGCAGCCCCACCCCACCCCCTAAGCTTTCCATGGTGGGCAATGGAGGCCACAGCTCCTCTGCATGACAGCGGCCTCCTTGTGATCTGTCCACACAAAGCCGGGCAGTGAGTGATGGCGGACACTGCCCAGCACTGTAGGGACCATGGCGTGGCCTGACCACTGTAAGTGGGAGGGTTGGGGGCCACCCCAGCCCTGTTTCGATTGAAGGCTCCACAAGCCTCTAGGGAATGAGTGGTCTAGAGGAAAAAGAGCAGAGGGGAGAGAATATGGTGGCATTTTCAGGCCCCAGGGCTGCCTGTCATCCACCTGCTTCACTCAGATCTCAACCGGGCTCCACCAGGAAGACATACTTCCTCCACCACCCAGCTGCTGGGGGGGGGGGGGATGTAACCTCCTGAGGAAGAATGTCCTTTGCTGCCCTCAGGGAAATGTCACTCTAGCCTCTGCCGGACAGCGCCCCCTCCATCGTCCCCCCCCCCCCCCCCCCCCCCCCCCGCATTCTCCCCCAGCAGGCTGAACTGACCATCTCCCTAGGGCGGAGGCAGTCTGGGTTCTCTCATTATCTCTCCCCACCCCTTCCCTGCCACTCCCCCATCACAGACCATCTGTCCTTGCACTGCCCACCCTCAGCCCTTTTAATAGCACGGTCCCTAGAGAGACGGGCCTCCAGGTGGCTTCACAGCGGGTGGGGGAGGGCGGGACATCCCGGTGCCTTGAGATGAGGTGGGTGTCAGGGAGGCAGGTGGCTAGGAAAGTCCTAATGAGGGAGGTTTCTCTGAGGTGGGCGCCTTGCTGAGCTCCCACTGGGGTGGATGGATGAGTGCGCACACAGCAGACAGGAGGGGAGGAAAGGGCAGAGGGAGAAGAGAGGACGCCATTCTAAAAATACAGCCCATCTGCGTCGTGTGAGCTAGTTTCCCGGGAAACCTCTGGGAACACAAAGCTCAGCAGGGTGGCAGGGTGTGATCCTGTGGGGACCGAGGACTTAGGGCGGCAGGTCCTCCTGCCTCCTGGGCTGAGGGTTAGGACGAAGGCTCAGAGCTGCCACCTGGCCAGACATGGGCTCCATCCAGGCCTGGGACCCTCGACATCGTCGTTGTTCTGTAGGAGGGGCAAACAGGACAGGGTGGCTTCTGACCAGCCAGCTGCTGGGGACCCGCTGCAGCGGGGGAGGGGGAGGCTAGAGACACATTCATCCCTTCACCCTTTAGGTGACCCGGCATTAGAGTGTGAGCGCTAAGCACTAGGCATCCGGTCCGGGGCCTCATTTAGCCTCAGTCTCCTCACCTGACTTCCGGTCAGGGTGAAGTGTGATAGCGCAAGGAAAACTTTACCAACCTTGTAAGGAGGAATTGGGCCGGGCGGTGGTGGCACATGCCTTTAAACCCAGCACTCAGGAGGTAGAGGCAGGCCAAGCTCTGTGAGTTCTAGGCTAGCCTGGTCTACACAGTGAGTTCCAGGACAGCCAGGACTGTTACACAGAGAAACAGTGTCTCAAAAACAAACAAACAAAAAAACAAAAAAAACCTAAGCCAGCTTGGTCTACATGGTAGACCTGTAACTAGTTACAGATTAGCCCACACTACACAGTGTGAGACTCTGTCTCAAAAATTAATTACATTCTTTTAAAAAATGTCTCCCCCCTACACTTCAGAGTGGACACCATATTTTCTTTTTCTCTCATAAATTACATCCTGACTGCAGTTTCCCCACCCTCCCCTTCCCCTGATCCCCCCCTTTACCTCCCCTCTCCCCCAGATCCACGCCCCCTGCCTCCCCTCAGAAAAGAGCAGGCCTCCCAGGGGTATCAACCAAACACGGCATAACAAGATGCAATAAGACCAGGCACATAACACCACCTCAAGACTGGACAAGGCAGCCCAGCAGGAGGAAAAGGGTCCCATAAGTAGGCAAAAGAATCAGAGACAGCCTCCCCTCACCCCCTTAGGAATCCCACAAGAACACCAAGGTACTCAGCCACAGCATATATGCAGAGGACCTAGGTCAGACCCCTACAGGCTCCCTGGTCTCTGCAAGCACCTGTGAATCCTGGTTGGTTGATTCTGTGGGCCGTGTTCTCATGGTGGACACCGTATTTTCAGTCCTCACCAATCCCTCCAGAAGCAAGCCTGAAACTAGTTGTTTATTATGAATATTTTGTCAGGGTTTTACTGGGTATCTCAGAACTCACACCCCACCCCACTCCAACCCCCTGCCGTAGCTCACCCTCCACCCTGCTCCCTTTTGGGAACTGTGGATGTGATGTACAGCTTTCAGGATCTTCTTGTGGGACCATTTGAATCTCTCATACATGGTATGATACCGAATGCTTTTGGAGCTGCTTTTTAAAAGTCCTTACCTTTGTTGTACATGTGTGACAACATGCATGCAGAGGTCAGAGGACACTTGTGGGACCCGGTTCTGTCCTTTCACTGTGTGGGTTCTGGGAATTGAACCCAGTTGTCAGGTCTGGTGGCAAATGACTACCTGCTGAGCCATGTCACCAGCCCTGTGAGCTGCATTTTATTAATTGTTACACAGCATTTCCCTGTGATTTAAAGTCATCGTAGTCAGATCACCAAAGCGATGTGTGACTCTAGTGGCCCACTGGTGGGCTTTTGGCTTCTTCCAGCTTCTCTGTTGATGGTGACACTGTGAGCATTCCTAAGACTAAGCTATTAGTTACCTCCCTGGCTTTCTTCAGAAGTCTCCCCCAGTGAGGGGACTTGCTGAATCTGACAGTGTGAGTCTTTAGGATATATATATTTTTTTCTTTTTGGTAATCCATATTGGCTATACCCCAGCTGTATCCCCAGCCCATGGCTTGAGCCTTTTGAGGAATTTTCATTCATTTTTGCAAAACTGACCTCCAGGGTGGGGGAAAGTGTCAGTGTTTTTGTGGCATGCAAATTCAGAAAGTGCCAGTCTGGGGCTGGACATGTAGCTCAGTGGTATCATGCTGTGTGGTGTGTGGGGCTCTGGGTCCCATCCCCAGTGCCACCCAAATCCAGAAAGTGCTGCTCTGTGCTTCTGAGCGAGCACTGCCGACTTGTCCATGGTCATAAAGGGGGACAAATGAGTGTCTTAGTATTTATTCATTTGTTTGAGACAGGGTCTTAGTATAAAGTCCTGTGCAGACCAGGCTGGCCTCAAACTCACAGAGATCCACCTGCCTCCGCCGCCATGCTGTCTGAATTATCTCATTTTAATCTGAATTTCTTTTAGTATCTCTCTGTGTCTTGATGAGTGTCTAGTGCCAATCCTTGACTCTTTTCCCTCCTGGGTGTACTCTGGCCTCTGCCGTTATACCCAGGTGAGCCTCATCCTGGGTTGTCACTGTCCAGTGTTTGCTGCTGCACCCCCACACAAAGACACAGAGGGCAGATGTGTACCCACTGTATAAGGGTGACCCTTTCTTCCACCAAAGGTCAAAAGTTTCTACCTTGGGGCTGGAGAGATGGCTCAGAGGTTAAGAACACTGGTTGCTCATCCAGAAGTCCCGAGTTCAATTCCCAGCAACCCACATGGCGGCTCACAACCATCTATAATGAGATCTGGTGCCTACACATAATAAATAAATCTTAAAAAAAAAAAGTTTCTGCCTCTGCCTGAGTCACCCAGAAATCAGGGTGTGGGACCTTCTGATGTCTATAGGCTGAGATCACATGTGTCGTCTGTCCTGACCCACGCTGTGTTCAAGTCCCAGGAAAGAGCTCTCACTTCCCATCCTCTCCAGCTTCAGTCACTTTGAGCCCACTCTTCTGCCTCACAATAACCACAGAGTTTTGTTTGAAACTTACAGGAATCCTCTTGTGCTGCTTAGTTTTGCAAAACACGATTTTATTTGAAAAGAGCAAATACAATATACTATTCCTTGACATGAGCAGGTCTTGGAGAGAGATCAGTTGTGGTCACCTGGGGGCAGCAGCCCTGGCCTGTGATATCCTCACTGGGCAGCTTCAGAACAAGGCCCAACCTCATGTTCCCTTCTTTCTAGGGCTTCTGCTCCACGACATGACCATGGCCGGGCTGCAGGAGCTGCGATTCCCTGAGGAGAAGCCCCTGCTCCGGGGCCAGGATGTGACAGAGCTGGTGAGTCGCCCCTTCCAGGTCCTGGGGCCGTGTGCCACCTTGTGGTGGAGAGGGAAATTGCGTGTTTTCCCACAGTCTTGCCGGTGGTGATGGGGAAAACCTCCCCGTGAGCTCAGAGCCACCCAGAACTGATGGGTTCGTTTCTTGAGAAAGTTGCAGGGTCAGCCTGAGTGTCCATCCAGTGTGGCTGGGTGTGCACCCCGCCCACCTTGTTTTGCAGCTGGGATAGGCAGGAGCCCAGCACTTAGCACCTTCAGCTCTGTGTTTTATTTCCACCTACCTTCCCAGCCCCGGGGCAGAAGGAGCAGTGAGGATTGGGATCAGATGATTTAGCAGGGGCTCTGGGGAGTCCAACCGCGTGAGGCCACAGCCCTGCCCCTGAACAGGGCGTCGTTGGTCATTCAATGCATAACCTCGAGCAAAGCGCCCACTCCTGGGTTTTTTGAGGGTGGTAGCCTGTAGGGCCAGAGGTGAGCTGCATATTTGGTAAGCTCTTCATCCTCGGTTCCATTGCTCCTGGTCCACAGCCGATCCCCCTGCGAGGTTACCTGCAGGAGCCTCCTCCCCATGTCCTCATTTTTCTTTGTGCAGTACAACCCTTTAAAAATGCACACGACAGTCCTGTGCATAAACTTCCCAGTGGTTGCCGTCTCCCGCAGACTGCCATGGCCATTCCTGAGGCTAGGGGTATAGCCTCCTCTTTCCCCTGCCTCCCTCCTTCCCAGTCTCCTTGAGTGTTTCTGTCATTTCCCAGCTGCTTCTCTGCTGGAAGACATTAGCCCCAGATGACAGGGCCGGCTTCCTATTTTATTCTGGCCTCTGCTCAAGTGCTCCCCGGAAGCCTTTGCTGACCACACGCTTGTGACTGGCACCCCTCCACACTCTTTTCACTCCCAGCATGTGTCATCAGACCCTCACCCTGAAGCACGGGTCTGTCTCGTGCCCAGGTCTCTCCAGCCTCCTAGCTGCAATACCTAGCTGCCCCTTTCTCCTGACTCATGGTTCTTTCCTTCCTGCCCCTGGCAGCCTACCGCCTCCTCCTGCTGCTCCCGGTCTCTCATTTCATGCCAGGGGCCACCAGGGCCATAGTTTGCCACTCTGGCGTTTGGGATCTGTGTTTCAGACTCACGCAGAGCCTCGATCCTGAGTCAGCAAGAGGCTCTTGCTGGATACCTGGTCACCTCTGCTTCTGCTTTTTCCAAAGGGGTATTAAAAAAAAAAAAAAAAAGCCCAGTGTCGCCTCCTCGTGACGCCCAGTGAAGTCCTTGCGGTGTCGGTGGCTGCACGTTTGTCCTCAGTAGCTGCCCTTTCTCAGGCCGTGATGCTGGCGAGTTCTCAGCATCCTGAGGGCAGTGCCTGCCTGACCGCTTCAGTTTCTGAACGGCTGTACTTTGCCAGGTACACACTTTTGTATCCAGAGAGCAGTGAATACAGCAGGCCCTCCGTGTCCATGGTGTCCACACCCAGGCCTCCAGTTAGTCAGACAGAAGTAGCCGGAGAAAAATCACCTGTACATGCATTTTTCTTGTCCTATTCCCTTAACAGCAGAGTGTAGCAGCTATTTCCATGACATACGCATATATTCTAGGAAGGGTGTCTTAGGAAATCTAAAGCTGATTGAAATTGTTTGAGAGGAGAATCGTGGGTTCTGGGCAGATATAATGCCATCTTAGAGAAGTAGAGTTTGATACCTACAGAAGGTTCTGGAACCAATGCAGAGGCAGGGGGATGACTATATTGTATGTGCCTTTCCACCTCCATAAGCCACTTAAGACTGGCTTTTCCTGAAGACTGCAGGGTCTGGGGAGTCCCAGGTTCTATGGGACACTGGCTGCCCCCTCTCTGCACCTCCTGGGCCTCCCTGCCCCTCCTGGGCTTCTCTGTTCGTCCAGACCCTCTCCTGCCCTTTGCTCTGACCTCAGACACCTCCTGTGGTTCCCAGGGATTCCTATTGGCTCATTTTTCTGCCATATCTTGGCTAGTGGATCCCATCTCTCCCACGCGCCTATTTCCTGGGCCCCTAACTTCCCGAGAGCATATAGCACACCCTACCATTATCTGCCTCATCCTTTCTGTCAGATTTTGTTTTTTAACAGAACTGCCTCCCTCCTTCCCTGAGGTAATTACCTTCCCACACTTGCTTTTCAGTCCTCTCACTGAAGGCACTTTGGTGAAAGGCTCCGTCAGTGACCAGCCCTACCCCTTTCTGCCGGCAGCCCCCTTCCTAAGGGATTCCAGAAGTGGCCACCCTCCCTCCCTAGCTCCCCTAGGCTTTGGAAGAATCAGTAGGTCTCACTACATAGCTGAGGCTGGCCTTGAACTCCCGACCTTCTGAGTGCTGAACTGCTGGCACTTGCTACCATGCCCAGCTATGGGTGTCTTCTGAGCCACATGCCCCTCATTTGTGATGTCAGATTGTCCGCCCAAATTGGCCTGTGTCTGGGAGCCCACTCTAGTCCAGGCTCTACGTGGCCTGATAGGGTCCCCCTATCATGGCATCTGGAGTCCAGAGGCAGGACAGGCACTGTTGGAAGATGCTACTGCCAGTTTCACATAGACCCAAGAAGTTTGAGAGAGTCAGATGGGCCTTGACAATCCCTAATGTGCGTAGGTCAGGACACTGAACAGGCCTCAGCTACCCTCCCTGCCCTGGGGGGTGACAATCATGGCGCCTCTCTGCTCCTTCATCATCCTCTGCCCTTGTGTGCAGGGATCCAAAGCGGGCGCTCAGGCAGAGATCCCGGTGCATTCTGCCTGTGGAGCAGTTCCCAGTCTCCCTGAGACCCTACAAGATAGAAATCCTTGCACTGTTCATACCCTGACCCCCAGCACTGGGTGAGCCCGTGGGCCACTTGTGTTAGCCTGAACGTGACTGGGAGTCCGAAGACCAGTCTCCCCCAGGGAAGAGCCCTGGGGGCTGGGCTAACGTGTCCCCTTTGTTTGCTCTCCTTAGGACAACCCCGACACAATCCTCTCAGTTGTGGACACGGACTGGAAGGTAGGTGAAGGCTCCGCCTCTCCAAATGTGGGACCCGGATCTGTGTGGGACCTCATTCCTACTGGGCTGGGTCTCAGAGGAGAGTCAGCCTGCCGGCATGTCCCCGTCTCTGGTGGCGAGGACAGGCCACCTCATGGTCTGATGACCACCCCCACTGCTCACAGCCCCCACTGCTCACACCACCTCCACCTGCTTCCTGCTGTAGCCGCTCCCCCTGCCCAGTGTGGGGGGGTGGGGTAGGGGGCTGGACCCTCTGTGAACAGGACAGTTGGGGAAGAAGCAGAGGCCTCAGGCAGTGAGTGTGCAGAAGGGAGCGAGAGATGCTGTCACCTGAATCAGCATTTCCCTCCAGTGGAAGCTCGGCTGGCTGTGAAATAACTCCGGTTTCCATACCAGCTGTTGCCTGGACAACCATGTCCTCTTTAGTTAGATGCCAAAGGTACCATGAAAATGGAACTTGCTCTTTGTTATATTCCTTCACATGATGATTTTTGCTCACCTGGCCAGCCGTTTCTTCCCTCTGAGTCCCCTCGAAACTGTTTATTTCCAGGTGTACGTCTAACAGCGGCACAGGATGGAGAGAGAAATAGGTTTATAGGGTTCCCAGACTCCACTGGCCGTCCAGATATGACAAACCAATTCAGCCCCCCCCCCCCCCCCCCCCCCCCCCCCCCCCCCGCTGGATGGAAGTCACCCCCAGGCCACTTTCTTTTCTCCCCCTGACCTCTCCTTGGGTCAGTCTGTATGGAACAGTCTTGTAGTCTGGATACAGGAGGTGGGGCTCCCTGATGGCTCCTCCCCCTGAAGCAGCTAGCCAATGAGAATGAGGAGCTGGGCCTGCGCTGGTCCCTTGGTCATGTGCCTTTTCAAGGACATGAAGGGAGGCTATAGGCAGACCATGTGCCCATGGCCATACCCCCTGAGGTCACGGGCCTCAGCTGAGAGGAAAGCACAGGACTCGGTAGTTGGGGCCAATCGGAGTCCCTGAGAAGGAATGGGAGGGATGTGGCTGTGAGGTGGACCAGCCTGTTCAGAAGGGACAGCCAGAAATCCGAGCATGACAGGCCCTGGCATGGAAATCTCTGTTCTGTGTTACAAATGAGAGTGTGGGTGTGTGTGTGGGGGGGGGGGGGTGAGTAGACAAGCCTAGGACCACTGTGCATGGTGGGACCCTGGTTCTCAAGACCCTTTGCTTGGTGAAGGGCATCGCCTTCCTGTCACCCTGGGAATACTACATAGAGGCCGGTTTGGTTTGGGTTTTCTTTTTTAAAGAAAAACACCCACAAAGATGGCTGGTATCTGGGCCACAGCTGGGGAGCCGCCTTCATCCCCAGCTCCACAGTGGCAGGCTGTCTCTGGCTTTGCGGGGTCAGCTGCAGGAGAAAGAAGCGAGACAGAGAAACCAGGAAGTACAAGAGATCCCATCTAGGTCCATCCGTGTCCACTGCCCCCCCCCCCCAATGCTGCTCTCAACCTGTTCTAGTCTGGGTCCGTCTATGTCCACTCCCAACACACACACACACACACACACACACACACACACACACACACACACACGCACGCACGCACACACGCACACACACACGCTACTCTCAGCCTGCTCCAGCCAACCCTCCGCCCTGCCCCACGCCGCTCCCAGCCTGCTCATTCTATATAGGGAGGCAAGTGATGAAGCTTCAGTGCCTGTGAGGGAAACTTCAGTGCCTGTGAGGGAATGGTGTCGGGGGGGGGGGGGGGGGGGGGGGGGGGGGGGCGGGCAGTGTTCGGACATCTTCCGCCACCCACCCCTGTGACCGTGACGAGGCACAGCCAACCATAGCACACAGGCACAACAGACCGCCTGGCTTCTAGCCGTGTGAGGTAGGGCAGCTTACCACATGTCTGAAAAGTGGGTACTGAGTGAGAGAATGTATAAAGCACTTAGGTAGGGTCTGGCACGCGGGGGCCTTCTAATGTAAGTGTCTGCTCTCCTCGATGGGCGTACCCCGGGCCTAGAATGCTGAGCGGCAGAGAAGTCCCGCTGGCCCTTACTTGAGTGAGAAAACCACGTGACTCCTCCTGGGCCTTGGGCTCCCCGAATTTCTGTCAGGCTTCTGTGTCTCAGAAGCAGAGGATTAAAAACGTGGCCCCAGGACTCCGCAGAGAGCTGGTCGAGCAGACCTGGCCTTGGTCTGTGGGTTTGTAGCCAGCGAGCTGAGCAGAAACCGGTAGCTTGGAAGGGGTCAGTATTGGGTCAGCCTCGCTCTTGGGAGCCAGGGAGAGGGCCACCCCTCCGTAGCTAGTCAGGGAGTGGGCATGGGTTGGTCAGGGACCGCAGGGAGCGGGAATCGGCGGCAGGACCTTCCTGCTTCCTGGAGAGACCCATGAGAAGACTTTAGGGGCAGACCAGGACAGGAGGGCTGGCTGGGGCACTGTTCCATGTCTCTGTTTGGGGGTGGCCTGGTCAGAGGTGGCACGGGCAAAGCTGTCGGTACCCAAGACAGAGGCTGTTCCTAGGAAGGGTGCAAAGCAGGTCACCAGGCACCTGGGTGGGGAGCTGGCCACCCTCCCCTGGGACCCTCCAGGGTGCGGGGCATCAGTGCAGACAGGGACCAGAAGTGCTTTCCTCTTCCATGGAGACGGAATGGGGGCACAGGTACCCAGCCCCCACCATGTGCCCTGTTACTTTTCTTCTCTCAGCCCTGGGGCTCCTTCTCTGTCACCTCCCTGGCCTACTTCTTCTCCCTTGCTCTCCTTGGCTTCCTGCTCGTCTGTGTACCCCATCTGTGTGCCTCTGTAGTAGGACAGGCCCATAGGGTCGAGGACCAGCTTGTCACCCTGAGCCTCACTGCACTGATGGATAAAGCAGGCAGCCTGATGTGTGTCCTCCAGAGACCCAGGAGCTGGACTTCATACCGACTGGCTTCAGAGGACAGGGCTTGGGTTGAGTGCTTGTGTGGGATGCAAGCATGTCGGCCTGCCCCCCCCCCCTCCACCTCTGCTCCTCCTCCTCCTCCTCTGGTTGCTTTATCCTCTTGCAGGAATGTGAGGTCAGAGAGGACCAGGCCTTTTCTATTGCTCCTCTGCTCCTGCCCAGCACCCCCAAACCAGACCCCTAAACTCCACACTCTCAGGCCTGTGGGTCAGTCCTGGGTGTCTGTGCAGGTAGGGTGGGAGATACCCAAGGGGAGAGACACCCAGTGGCAGACCCTGAAGCAATGGGTAAACCGAGGTGCTCCCCAAATCAGTGATGTCCTCCTCCTCCTCCTCCTCCACCAGTAGCTGTCCTCAAGGTGATGTGACCTAGGCTGTCATCTTGCTGGGATGGCTGGGCCTGGGAGTCAAACCATCCAGATACTGGGTCTCTCAGGACCTCCGTGATCCCAGGGGATGGGTCCAAGTGCTGAGGCAGGTCTGCAAGTCCAGCTTTTCAGGCCACCCTGCATTGGCATGCACATCCGTGAGATGCGTCTGTATGCATGATGCAGGGGCACCTGTGAGGCCCTGGCGGCTGCTTCCCAGAAGCCACATACAGCTGTACCCGATGGAGGGTGCCTGGGTGTCAAGCACCCTTGAGCTACAGGGGCTGGGGACCATCGGGGGTGTTGGGTCGCTGGGGCGGGAGGGGCTGAAGCAAGGCAGAGTGAGCGAGGCTCTCAGAAGCCAATAGGAGCCAGGCTTGTCTCCTAACAGCCAATGTGGGAGCAAGGACTCGGAGTGAACAAGTAGCTGCTCAGAAACCCTTCAGGGAGGAGGGACCAGCCTGGGCAGGGCCGGGATCTGTGTATAAAATCACTCGGAGCTGTGCCCCATCACAGAGCCGAAGTCTTCCACCTAGGCTGCCCCCCCACCCTCCAGACCGAGTGACTCAGGTTTTTGTCTGCCCTTTCTGGTTCAGCGAATTCCCTTCCTCGGCAAGATGCCGGAGTGCTGGGATGGGGTGAGTGAGGGTCCTGGGGGGCTGCGGGATGGGCAGGGAGGATGGGGCATCCTTGTGACCTACAGAGGACGAGGTGTCCTCCTGCCCTGACTGGTGACAGCTCTGTCCGGATGCCTGTCTTCCTGGTCTATTCGGGCCCTGGATGGAGGGCGGGGTAAGAAGGGTGATGCCTGGGAAATGCAGTGGGCGCACTGACCTCTGTTTGCTGGCTTGTGTTCTCTGCCTCCTGTGTGAACTCCTGGGGTCCCTTCAGCTTGGTGTGTGTTCTGTGAGCCTCTGGCCTGTTCCTAGCGTCTGTGGGGGATTGCCTTGATGCCGGATAGCTGCAGCAGGGCGTCATGTCTCCATGACGGTGTGTCCCCGGTGCACCGCAGTGCCAGGCAGAGGAGTGGGAGTCTGGGTCTTCGGGCAGGAGTATCGCAGAAGAGTCAAGGAGAGGCTGCTCTGCTTTATTTTACAGGGTGGGGGAGACAAGACGGGAGCCCTGAGCTGGCAGGGCGTGGAGCCTCAGGACACCTCCTCTTGCCCTGGGGGAGGAGCAACAGCTACCCAAGCCCTGTGCTCTTCTTCAAGGAGGGAGATGCGAGGGCAGGTTTACCCCGCACGCACGCATTCCATGCCCCGTCACTCATTCTCCTTTCCTGCCCGGTCGTAAATCAGCCTCCGCCCTCCCGTGCAGACCTTGTCTCCCGAATTACCCAGGAAGCCGCTGAAAACAAATCCCACCACATCCTCTGCCGTGGTGTGTCACAGCCCTGTTCTGTCCCTCTTCTCCCCAGCCCTCAAGGTCACTGGTGAGGGGAGACAGATCAGACCCAGAGGGGACCTCAAAGCCCGCTCCCTTGCCGCCTGCCGCAATGCATCCCTCTAGCGCCCACCTGGAGGGGGGAGGGAGGGCTGGGCTCTGACGTCACTGAGAGCCAATGGGAGCACTCTACCCTGGGAACTGAGGGGCTGACAGTCTGCTGGGCGGCGCCCCCTGAGGCATGTTCCCCTCACTCTAGTCAGCACCCTGAGGGGTGGGGATGCTCGGCTTCTGTCAGACAACCTGGGTCTGAGTTCTTGGCCCAGGGTTGAAGAGGATGAGGTAGGAAAGAAGTTGGTGGGAGCATTCAGTCAAGGTCACTATACCCTAGGACAAGAAATGTGGTTAGCATCACTCCCTTAGAGCCCCATGATCTGATCAAAGGCAGCGCTTCCCCACCTGGGAACTGAACCTTCCTTCACAAGGCCAATGCTGTGACTGATGGTATCTGCCTGGAGATAAGGACTTGGGCAGCCACGTCAGGGTTGGGAAGGGCCGTGCAGACTACCTTGGTAGAAGAGGGCAGATACCGCTCACACACCCCGAGGGTCTGATTTTGGAGAATTCCTAGGTCCCTGTGTCCTTGCAGAGCAAGATCGGACCCACCGCAGCAGAGAACTGCCCCTTTGCTGGCTGTGTGGTGTGTTTACACTGTGCACCTCACGCTCCATCCCTTCCTCTAGAGCTGAGAGAACAGTGGAGTGACCGTAGCAGGGACCCCAGAGGAGAAAAGCAGCTGGCTGGGGTGGGGAACAGCCTGCTTACGAGGTAGGCCCCTTGGGCGGACCTCAGTCTCCCCCTCAGAAAATGCTTTCGCTTGGTGCCAGGCCACAGCCCTGAGCTGGCATCTTGTCAGCCCTGGGCTCGACCTTGGGCAAGTCAGTTATCCTTTCTGGGCCTGTGTCTTCCTGGAGAGCAAGCTGTAGAGGGCTGGGGTCCAGTGAGGAATAAATGAGATGTCACGTGTCCAGCACCAGTGAGCAGGAAGCTTTTCTTGGTCAAATGTCCTTCCTGAGGGAGGACAGCCCTGGAAGGCTATGTTGGGCTTGGGCCTGACCGAGGGCCACAGGACGAGACTCGGGCCTCCCAGCAGAGTGTGAATCCAGAGTGCAGCCTGTGGTCATGGGCTTATCACCACATTTCCTTCTGAAGACCAGTCTGAACAGTAGACCTCTGATACCACACCCAAAAAAGCCAGTCTGTGGGAAACTGGCTTTGTCACGCACATCTCCCTTTTGGGAAACCAGTGTCCCTGGCTAGGTTCCCTCTGTCTTGAGTGGCAGATAGGAAGCTCGATACAGAGTCAGTGCCCAGTCACTTGCTGTTTCTCTCCTGTTGGGGACCGTAACACCAGCTCCATCTCTGGGCTACTGGCAGTGGTATCAGAACCCCTGTGGTAGAGGGCAGGGTATGTTCAACTCTGACCAGTATGTTGGATTTCCTCATTGAGAGCCCAGGAATGACTGTTTGCAAAGAGGCCAATCAACAGGGTATCCCCTCAAGGTTCGGGGTGCCAGCAGCAACAGCTCCCATCTCTGGGCCATGTCTACATACTGTAGCTCCCACAAAGCCTCTGTAGATGATTTGAGAAGCTGTCTGTCCTGCTCGGAGTCACATAGAACCAGGTCCCCTTGAAGGCCTGAGCAGCAAATCCAAGGGACCAAGGTGTGGCACCTGGGAATAGGGACTGCAGAAGACCTTGGAGGCAAGCATGGCTAGCCCAGTCCTGCCTGAAGAAGGCCGTGGAGATGTGTACCACAGGGCAGGGAATTTGAGGGAGCAGGAATGGGGACAGATGTGTAGATTGGGAGCAGGATGTAGCTGACGTGGAAACATTTGCTGTGGATTCTAGGTGGGGTGGCAGAGGCCATTCTGCAGGAAGGGGGAACACCTTGGTTGGTAATGGAGGAGGAGCTTGGGCTGGGGAGGCAGAGCCCTCTTGGGAGGGCTGTGTGAAATGGAGAAAGCTGACCTCCCAGGATCCTATGGTAGGCTGGATGTAGAGCAGGGGCAGGGCAGTGCAGGTTAGTTTGTAGAGGGAATCGGGATGTCCCTGTGCTGAGCATCTCTGAGGAGGAGGCTCCACCTGTCCCCTGTGGGGTGACTTAAGGGGATAGACACCTTGGCTAGGGGCTCTATCACCTCATTCCTTAAGAACCAGAGGTTCCAGCCGGGTGATGGCGGCGCACGCCTTTAATCACAGCACTCAAGAGGCAGAGCCAGGCGGATCTCTGTGAGTTCAAGGCCAGCCTGGTCTACAGAGTGAGATCCAGGACAGGCACCAAAAACTACACAAAGAAACCCTGTCTCGAAAACAACAACAACAACAACAAAAAAGAACCAGTGTTTCCAATGCCATCTGTCCCCTCTAGGAACATGACATCGAGACGCCTTATGGCCTTCTGCATGTGGTAATCCGGGGCTCTCCCAAAGGGAACCGCCCAGCCATCCTCACCTACCATGATGTGGGCCTCAATCGTAAGTGCAACTATGCCCTGATCCACCCTGCCTGGCCTTCAACTGCCGTGCAAGTGAAGACTCCTCCCCTCCATGCACGGTCCTGCAGATCCCAGTCCCCCCTCCCCACTGTGGCTTAGCCTCTGGCCTGGGATTCCCCACTGGGCTCTGAAGTCCTCCGACCCCTGACATCCTTAATGCCGGTCCTTTATTATTGCCCACTAAGAGCTGTGTCTTTGCAGACAAGCTGTGCTTCAACACCTTCTTCAACTTTGAGGACATGCAGGAGATCACCAAACACTTTGTGGTGTGCCATGTGGATGCCCCTGGGCAGCAGGTGGGGGCGTCACAGTTCCCTCAGGGGTAGGTACCCCAGAGTCTCTTCACTCACTCCAGCCCTGTGCCCTCACCGTACCCAGGTCCTGAACTTCCGCTCTGCCTACAGGTACCAGTTCCCTTCCATGGAGCAGCTGGCTGCCATGCTCCCAAGTGTGGTACAGCATTTTGGGTGAGTCCCTGCCAGCTCCTGACTCTGGGTTGGGGGATAGGAGTTGCCCACATCACTGCAGTGAGCCTGGCTTCAGCTAAGGGCTGAGGGTGGAGGGTGAGACCTGCTCTAGCTGAGGTTCATGGAAAATGACATCCTAGCCATAGAGTGACCTGCTCTACAACAGGTTCAAGTACGTGATCGGCATTGGAGTGGGAGCCGGAGCCTATGTGCTGGCCAAGTTTGCGGTGAGTTTCCCCACCCTCACAGAGAACCGCAGTCCAGACCAAGAGGGTGATCCCAGGGCCACAAAGGGCTTGCCCTGTTCTTCCTCCTCTTCTTCCTTCCCCTTTGCTCAGAAAAAGCCCTTTCTCCATTTTTCCCTCCAAGGAAATTAATAAAAGGAAGGAAGGAGGGAGGGAGGGAGGGAGGGAGGGAGGGAGGGAGGGAGGGAGGGAGCAAAGAGAGGTGCTGGGGTGTGGCTCCCTGATAGTGTTCACCTTGCACGTCTTGGGCTCTGGGTCCCATCCCTAGCATCACACAAAAACAAAATAGACGGGCTGGCGAGATAGTTTAGCAAGTAAAGCACTTGCTGCACCAGCCTGGAGACCTGAGTTCGATCCCTGGAGCCCACATAAAGGAGGAAGAAGAAGAGGGACTCCACAGAGTTGTGACATGCCACACACACACACACACACACACACACACACACACACACACACACACAAATCATAAATGAGTAATTAGCATAAATCAGAAAAGGGTGTTCTTTCCCCATACATTGCTTCAGAAGACTGTTAGCTGCTACTTGCTTACCCTTCTCCAAAGCCGAATTCCTGTTGGTGACTAACTTGTCCCTCTGCCCACCAGCACAGGTTGTCCCCAACGGATGAGGTACCATCCGGACAGACACAAATCGTCTTTTAACCCAACGCTGCACTTACACTCAGGTTCTGAGGTTTAAAGAGAACCTCATTTCAGAAATCGCAGGTTAGGCAGGAAAGCCTTCGTCTCTAAAGCCAGGAACTGTTTTAGGATTCAGACATTTATTAAAAAAGAAATAGAATTCTCACCTCCAGTTTCTGTCCCCACACTGAGCCATTTTGTTGGCTGCAGACTACCCCAGACCCTGCAGACAGACCGCAGGGCTCTGTATGTGTCTGTTACCTGTTCTCCCTCCGTGAGAGCCAATAGCAGAGCAGAAAACCGTCTGTCACAGTCAGCACAAGGCTGGCTTTGAAGAGGTCCGTGTCCTGATTTCTACCCCAGGGTCTTCAGCCATAACAAGCAAGGAAAGAAACAGCCTGTTTTAAGATTTTAAGATGGGGCCAGCAAGCTGGCTCAGCAGGTAGAGGGGCTTGCCACCAAGCCTGACAACCTGAATTTGATCCCCTGGACCCACATGGTGGAAGGAGAGAACCAACTCCCACTAGGGTCTTGCTTCATATGAGAATGTACACACACACACACAAATGAATGAATGAAGAAATGTAAAAAATTTACAAGATTAAAAGATGTTTAATATTCAGTTTTGCAACACCTTCAGAAACATACCAAAAGCATTGGAAGTATGGCTTCGTGGTAGAGCGCTTACCTGGCATGTGTTACGGTAGGGCTCTGGGTCCCTATCCCCAGAACCACACGTACAAACACAAATACATATCCATGTACTAAAAAGGGTAAAAAGCTGCTATAATGGATTCTACGTAAATCAAAGAACTTTTAGGGCAGAGAGGAGGAACCGCGAGGCCCCTGGCATGGGAACCATGTACGGACCTGGGTACACACTTGGCCCATCTGTGGTATCTATCTTGAAGACGTCCCCAGGCAAGAGTTTCATGACCTATTTTCCCTCACCCCGCAGCTCATTTTCCCTGACTTGGTGGAGGGGCTGGTGTTGATGAACATTGACCCCAACGGCAAGGGCTGGATCGACTGGGCCGCCACCAAGGTGAGCCTCGAGCCCACATGGCCTGGCTGTGAGAGCAGTGACCCGAGGCAGGCCTTACTCTGGCTTTCCCCCCCTCCTGCAGCTCTCTGGCTTGACCAGCACTTTACCAGACACGGTACTCTCCCATCTCTTCAGCCAGGTAAGGGCCGGATCGGATGGCATATGGGGCATCCTCAGGAGCAGGGGCTACAGGCTCAGCCGGCACGGTCGGGTGCTGCAGGTCGGGCCATAGTGCTGTGGGGCGTTGTGCCGTGTCTGAGGTGGCCAGTGGGAAGCCCTTCCACTCCCGAGGCCCCTCCTCTGCCTTCCAGACCACTCCTGCTGGGAGTGGGGCCAGGGCTCTTCAGTAGGTGACTCCCGTGTGCCCTCGTGTGCCCTCTCGGAGCCCTGAGTCCCTGCCTGTGTGTACCCCCTCCCCTCCTCCCCCGCCCAGGAGGAGCTGGTGAGCAATACAGAGCTTGTGCAGAGCTACCGGCAGCAGATCTCGAACGTGGTGAACCAGGCCAACCTGCAGCTCTTCTGGAACATGTACAACAGGTGTGGGGGGTCCCCATCCCCCGTGGGAGGGGGGCAGGGCGGGCAGCGCCATCCCCAGCTTGTAGAGGGGCTGCTGTTGAAGTCTGGGAGAGGGCAGCTTCTTGCCCAGGGTGCGGCCTCCTCTTCGGAGCTGAGGGGGAGCAGGGCCGTGGACTCTGGTCCCTGGGTTCTTGCTCTTCTCCGTTGCTGGGTGGAGAGAACGTCAGCAGCACCCCTGGTCCCCACTTGGGGACTAGGTGCTCAGCCCTGCTTCTGTGAACTTCTAGTAAGGAAGCTCCGGCTGGAAAAGACTTCAGTGAGGAAGAGAGTCAGATGCCGACATTGAGTAAGGGTTGTGTGTGTGGTCCTGGAGCAGCGGTGTGCAAGACGGAAATGTCACAGACACCGCAGCACATTCCTGGCACAGCTTGGGGGTTCTGGAAAGGAGTCATGATAAGGATAGCCCAAAGGGTCCCGTGCACGCAGAGCAAGTCCGGGACTCCCAGGTTTACCAGTTGGCGGTGTTGGGATCCGCCCCTGGGATGCCCCCTTTACTTTTGCCCCTGCCCTGCAGCCGCAGAGACCTTGACATTAACCGGCCTGGGACCGTGCCCAATGCCAAGACGCTCCGGTGAGTGACTCCTGCCCTCCAGCCTGTCCCTGCCTTTGCCCCTAAACCCAGGCCGGATGACCTTATCCTCTGTCTCATAGTTGCCCCGTGATGCTGGTAGTCGGAGATAATGCACCTGCTGAGGACGGGGTGGTGAGTGTGGCTCCCCTGAGCAGGGGTGGGGGGTTAGAGTCGGGGGGCAGGCCCTGAATGAGGGGTTCCCAGATACTCCCCTGCCATCTGGTCACACACCGGGGCCTGACCACCCCCACCGTGCAGGTGAATGGGCCTGGTGAGTGGATGGAGCTAAGACCAGGGCCATGCTGCCTGGTGGGCCCTCCTATCTCTCCCACCGTGTCACCCACCTCAGTCTCCACACACTTTCAGTTTAGGGCCCAAGGCCCACTTCTTCCAAAGTTTGACCCAGAAGTGACTCATAGACATCCGTACTCACCCTGGAGCCACCCAGGCACCCGCGGTGGGGCAGTGCCTGTTCCCATTCACATTAGAGTTCTGGCAGCACACAGTCCCAGGGTGGGTGCCTATCAGCCCAGGCGTGTTCAGACGATAGGAAGCTTTCAGGGGCTCCTGAGGAAGGTTGTAAGGGCAGAGTGTGAGCTGCACCGGCCATCTTGACCTAGGCAGGGCCCGTGTCCCCTGCTGTCCCTTACCTGCCCAGATCCTCTGGTCCCTCCTGCTAGAGGAACCTTCTGGCCCAAGCCTTGTCCCGTCCCTGCCCCACTCGCATTTGTGAGTGGGATTTCAGGCCTCCAGGGACTTAGCCCTAGCAGGAGAGAGCCTGGGAAGGAAACCCTTGGGCTTGTACCCTCCTCCTCCCCCCTCCCTCCCCTCCCTCCCCTCCCTCCCCTCCCTCCCCTCCCTCCCCTCCCTCCCCTCCCTGCTCTGGGCACAGAACCTGCCATGCTAGGTGGAGCATGGGTGTGGCTGCAGCTGGCTCCTTGTCCCCAGGTTGAGTGCAACTCCAAACTGGACCCAACCACCACAACCTTCCTGAAGGTGAGACACCCCACCCCAACCCCACCAGCCCCATGGCTCAGCTGCAGGGAGGGGGTCTGCTGGACAGCATGGGAGCAAGATGGTGCTTTTGAATAGCACAGTCTGTCCAGGTATTGGGAGGGGCTCCTCAGTCTGCTCTGCTCTTTTCCTTTCAGATGGCAGATTCTGGTGGCCTTCCTCAGGTGACGCAGGTAAGACCATGGCCCTGCTGTCTTTGTATCACCCAGCTTGTTGTGGTGGGGGGGGGGGGGAGCGGGGGGCGGTGATGGCATCTTCCCCATAGCTCCAGGTAGCCAATCAGAGCACGTTCCTGTCCATCTTATTGCAGCCAGGGAAGCTGACTGAGGCCTTCAAATACTTCCTGCAAGGCATGGGCTACAGTAAGTACACATCCACCCACCCTGGGCGAGGGACCGGGACACAGTGCCCATGTGCTGGGGAGTCTGTGGGTGAGTGTGCTCTGTCACCTGGACCCCAAAGGCTAGGCTACTCTCCGAAGACTCTGCATACTTTGTAAGGTGTGCATCCCAGGCCCAGACAGCTTCTGGGCTTGGGTAGAGCCTGAGGCATTATTCTGAGCCCGAAGTCAGGCCTGTTTGGGAGAGGACTCTTCTTCCAGCCCTTGAGAGTCCAGGGCCTAGGCTGGGTGCTGTTAGGGAAGCCTGTTTCAGATAAGTCACTCACACCCTATTGGGCTTAGGGTACCTCCAAAAGGCTCTTTCTCACAGTACAGGGTTAGTACCCAGGCCCATGGAGTCAAGAAGGGAAGTGGAACCTTCTGGATGTTAGTATGTCCAAACCTGTGGAAAATAAGCCTGAGGATCCGCTGGGAACAAGGGTTCTAAACCAGCTTTCTGGTCCCCATCCTTCCTGAAACATCCCCTCATGTAACAGTGATGAGACTCAGCCTACGTCCATGAGCACCCAACACACACACACACACACACACACACACACACACACACACACACACACACACGGGATTATGATGCTGGCGACTCCTGTGTGCCTCCTGGATCTCTGGAGACTGCCAGGAGACTTCAGCCTCTGGGGCTTGTACATCCTTGGGACAGAAATAGGATATCCCTCCACCCTGCCAGCCTCATGGGGAAATGGCAGAGAAAGTCACAGGCAGGGAGGACTAGCCAGAACTCCAAGCCGGGCCCCATGCACTCTTGGAGCATGGCAGACATCTGTGAGGCGAAGAAGGAGCAACACCCGTAGGCACTAGAGTGTGTCCCTGGGCTTCACGAGGAGTACACCAGGTGTCCCAGGAGTCAGAGGGGCTTGGGAAGATTGTACAGCCTCCTCCCCCTTTATGTGCAAGACTGAGGTCTGGTAGAGCCGTGAGGACACTGGGTCTAGGATGTGGCCTCCGTGGGCCTGAAGCCACAGCCTGGGCTGGAGAAGAGGGAGAGGTGAGAACCCTGAGACTGGTGTGTGGCTTCCACGAGCTGTCGTCTGGATGGGCTGCAGCAGCAGCAGCAGCAGCGGGCTCTCCGAGCCTCAGCCCTGCCCCGGTCCTCCCTCCCTCTTTTGCCGGTCTGTCTCCTCTTGGCCCATCTCGATGCCCTTGGCCTAGCCGATCTTCACCGTGTTCTGTGTCTCCCCTCCCCTCGCCCTCTCTGGCTGTCTTCTCTCTTAGTTGCACACTTGAAGGACCGAAGGCTGAGTGGAGGAGCAGGTAGCCCCGTGGCCCCTCTCCTGATGCATGGACACCCTGCCTAGTCCCCCACCCCCCCCACTCCTGCTCCCCCGCAGTGCTGCAGCCACACTCTGTCTTGCCGTGGTTTGGAATCTTCTTCTGTCCTGCTCAGCTCAAAGCCCCGGTGGCTCCCTGCTCCTCTGCAGACCCTGTCTCCTGCAGGCTCTGTCCCATGTGGGAACCTGATGCTGGCTGGTCTCGGAGCGGTTGTCTGGTTTTTAGGTTGCCGTGGGCTGTGGGGCTGCCAAAACTTTGGGAGTTAGAAGCACTAGGTTGGCCTTGGCAGGCATCACGTCTGTCCCTGGCCCAGCCTCCAGGAGTAGAAACAAGATTCGGGGTAGTTTGTGGCTGTTTGTGTCCTTCACAGAAGCAGTCCTGCCTCCTACCCAGTCACTCTCTGGATAAAGGTCTAGTTGGCCACACGGTGTCTTCCTATCCCAGTTCAGAGTGCTAATCAACACCTGCCCTACCCTGGCCGTAGCTCTGGGTAGCTGTTGGACCTAGGACCCTGCTGGCTGCAGCCCATTTGGCCTACTCACTGTTGCTGGCACTGCATGCCTCGGCCTGGCCTGACGGAACCAGTACCAGCACCCTGGCTTGGGATGGGCCTCTGTGTTGTGGCAGGGCTGGGTCTCACTGGCCGCTTTGCTTGCATCGCCCTTTTCCTGCCTGCTGGTACCCACCTTGCCTGTCCTCAGGACCCTTTGTCTTTGTCCACAGTGCCCTCAGCCAGCATGACCCGCCTTGCGCGCTCACGCACGGCCTCCCTCACCAGCGCCAGTTCTGTGGATGGCAGCCGCCCGCAGCCCTGCACCCACTCAGAGAGCAATGAGGGGATGGGCCAGGTCAACCACACCATGGAGGTATCCTGCTGAAGCCCTCGTCCTGCCCAAGACGCCTGCTTACCTGTCCCCAGGTCCCACTGCCGTCTCCGCACTGGCTCATCTTCCGTTTAGTTTATTTTTGTGAGAGTGAAGTGGAGGAAATGGGGTTACTTCTCTTTTATTTAAAAATTGAAGGGATCCACCTTAGTACAGCAGAAAAGTCTTGGGTGGTGTGAGGGGCTCGCCTCATCTACTCCCATTTCATTCAACATGTTCACTAGTTGATATGGCTCCTCTCATCTGCTCACCGTGGCCCTGGGGTGGGGCCAGAATATAGGATACAGTATTGAAGAAGGAATATGGCCCACCCCCCTGGGCCTGGCAGATGTGAAGACGCGTGGGGTTTGAAGATGGTGGGTGCTGTGCTTAGGCTCTGATGTGAGAGGGAGTCAGACCAATGGAGAGCCCTGAACCTCAAGGGGTCCACTTCCTTTTAACCTTTGCACCAAGCACACCTGTTCTGATAGTAGAGGTCACAGTCGTAAGGATGGAAACCACGAGAAGGCGCTCTAAGCAGCCAGACGTTTTCCTGGTGCTCTGTGGGCAGGACAGGTGCTGTAAGGCTAGCCAGGCAGAGCTATGGAGACAGCATATGGAGAACTCTGAGGGCAGGAACCCCCATACTCTACCACCCCAGGCCCAGGTCCCACCCTGAAGCAAAGGTCACGTGGTCTCCTGCCCCTGGTGGCAGAGGGAAAAGGTTAAGGTTGCTGTGTGTAGCCCCTGAGAACTTCATGATCCCTTTGGCAGTTGGAAGGTGCTTGAGTCCTGCAGACCCCTCTTGTCCCAGATTCCACCCAGAGTGTTCGTGACAGTGGCCTGGTCAGCTTGGGCCAGTGTGACACAGACATCACTGGAGAAGTGAGCTTGTTTGAGAGGTCTGGTCCAAGACAGAAAGACACCGTGCAAGGACTTCTGCCTGCTGGAGGGGCTGGAGCTTGCTTGGTCCTGGGGTGGGAGATGGGTGGCGGGTCCTTGATGTGAACAAAGGTGGTGTAGTGGCCAAAGGCTCTTGATGCACCCTAGCCCTCTGGAGCACACCGCTAAGCTGTCTTCCCGCCCATCATCTCACCAGGTAGACTCGCAGCCCAGAAACCAGAGCTACTGTTTCAGCCTGGTCACTGGTTTCACACGCTGTCACCCCCAAACGGGGAATAAAGCACTTAAAAAAAAAAAGAGAAGAGCTGTGTGTGTATGGGGGAGGGTGTTACGGTGCGGGTGTTCTGCACTGAGGACACCTACACCCCTGTATCTGTGCCACCCCCTTCTGTAACTGTAAGCCATTTCTAAGACTGCTCAGTCCGGTGGAGTGTATTCTGTCCCCAGTTCTGTTCACTCACGTGCTTCCGTGAATACTGAATGTGACTGTTTAAAGCTGGTAGAATTAATCCCTCACTGTAGATAGCACTTCGAGTATTGGACATCTTTTTGCTGTGTTCTCAGATATCTATAAATACCTATAATTATATATATATATATGTGTATATCAGGTCCTCCTGTGTGTGGTTTCCCTATTGGTGGTTGTCTCCTCTTGGTCAAGGGGAACTTTCGATGGAGTTCACTACTTTCCTCTCTGTACAAAATTAAGAGCCTAATTTTGTGTATTCCAGTGGCTGATAAAAGAGATTTTGAGACGACAAAATGTAAAACACAAACCCTTGTTGATGTAGAAAGTTAACTGTGCAGAAAAACTAATAAAGAACTTAAGACTAAAGAGTGAGTGTGGTGTTTGCTATCACCTGGAAACGGTTTAGGTTACCTCGGGCTCCCACGGGTGGAGGATAGTAATTGTTTCTGTGTGTCTCTATACCTTCAATGCCTATTACATACATTGGGGAGGGGGGAGTGAGGGTTGGCATGGTCTCATTCTGTGCCCCAGGCTGGTCTTGAACACTCAGAAATCCTGCTTCAGCTTCCTGGGTGTTGGGATTATGTAGGCCACCCTTTCTAGCTTTTTGTTTTTCCTTTGGGGGTGATGGGGCTTGAACCAGGGTGGTCACACATGATGGGCAAGGTTCTGCCATGAGGCTATATTACCCTGATCGAGACATGATTTTTACCGATCCTGACGCTACTTCTCAGTGTCACAGCTGAGCAAATAGCTTAGCCAGGCAGGCCTCTTCAAAGCAAGGGCACACCACGTTTTGCTTGTTTTTTGTTGCTTTGAGACACGGTCTCACTCTAGCCTAGGCTGGACAGGAACTCCCAGTAATCTTGTCTCAGTCTCCCAAGTACTGGAATTACACTGCCAACTTCTCCACGTTCAATCATTTGTTCCATCATTCATTCACCTGATAGTGACTCCTTCCAATGTATCAGGCTTTAAAATAGCTGTCAGAAGATGAAAAACAAGAGTAAATTAGCAACTGTGGATGGGGGTGTGTGTCCATCAGATGTAGAGAACCTTCAGGCCACTTCAAACCCACGTGCAAACTGTCTAATTGAACGGAGGTCAGTGAGAGAGATGCCTGTCGCTAACAAGGAAGGGGTCGGTCCCTACCGCTCAGCAGCTAAGACCCCAGGAAGAAACCGGATTTGGTTCCTGCACCCTGCTCTCGGGGACGCGCCCAGCACAGAACTCGCCTGTGTGCTCGCGCGGTGTCTGAACCCTCTGGAGGCCACGCCGGAGCCGCTGCGTGGAGGGAGGGAGGGAGGGAGGCGGGAGGGACGGAGGGAGGGAGGGAGGCGGGAGGCGCGGCGTGGGTGCGGGACCCGAGCTCCGCCCCGTCCGCTCGCGTCCAGCGACGCCGGAAGCGCAGGGAGGACGCGGCGCCACCCTCCCGGCATGGCGGCTCCGGCCAAGCGCGCGCGGACCGGCGACGGGCCGCCCCTCCCCGCGCCCTGCCGGGTCCCGAGAGTCGCCGGCGCGCCCCCGACGCCCCCGGATCCCGGGCGCGGCCACGCCACTTGCTTCTCCCCGCTGGCGGCGGGGCCCAGCGGTGACGCGCCGGACGGCGACGCGGTGGCCGGCTTCCTGCGCTGGTGCGCGGGAGTGGGGCTGGAGCTGAGTCCCAAGGTGGCGGTGAGCCGGCAGGGCACGGTGGCCGGCTATGGCATGGTGGCGCGGGAGAGCGTGCAGCCGGGGGAGCTGCTGTTCGCAGTGCCGCGCTCGGCGCTTCTGTCCCCCGACACCTGCTCCATCGGCGGCCTGCTGGAGCGAGGTGGGTAAGGGGCAGAGGGCTGGCTCCGAGGCTGGCTGCCGAGTCGCGCCCGGGCGACTTCTCCGGTGTCTTCCCTAGAGCGAGGCGCGCTGCAGAGCCTGTCCGGGTGGGTGCCGCTGCTGCTGGCGCTGCTCCACGAGCTGCAGGCCCCAGCCTCACCCTGGAGCCCCTACTTCGCGCTCTGGCCAGAGCTGGGGTGTTTGGAGCATCCCATGTTTTGGTGAGAGCCAAGGGAAGGGCAGGGGAGAACCTGTTTCAACCGTTTTGCTGAGGGGACTGGGTATCTGCTGGATCAGAGCGGCAGGTTGTGAAGGGCCCTGGGTGGGTTGTCCTTGCAGGCCAGAGGAGGAGCGGCTGCGCCTCCTCAAGGGTACAGGTGTCCCGGAGGCCGTTGAGAAGGATTTGGTGAACATCCGCAGCGAATACTATTCCATCGTCCTGCCCTTCATGGAGGCTCACTCCGATCTCTTCAGCCCCACTGTTCGCTCTCTAGAACTCTATCGCCAGCTCGTGGCCATTGTAATGGCTTATAGGTCAGTGATTACAGCCTGGAGGAGCAGACCCTCATCTTTAGAACATATTGAGGGCAAGGTGGGGAAGAACAGTGAACTCCAGGTAGGCCCCTCACCCAAGACCGGGCCTTAATTGAGTTTTCTCTGTGGCAGCTTTCAAGAACCACTGGAGGAAGAGGATGATGAAAAGGAGCCGAATTCCCCCTTGATGGTGCCTGCAGCAGACATACTAAACCACACAGCCAATCACAATGCCAATCTCGAGTACTCTGCAGTGAGTGAACCCCATGTCTAGTTATGTGCATTGGGAGTCAAATCATTGGGCTCCGTTTTCCTACGTACTGTGAAAATGAGTAGGTGAGATTACTCCCCCGTGTACTTTTGGTATCAAGTTACAATAAGATGGCGTGGACACACCTTAAAGCTACCAAAACCAAAACCAAAACCTGCCTGCTCTGCCATGTCACCTCAGGCCCTGTGGACAGCATCGCAGAACAGCAATAGTTCAGTACTTTTCAAGAGGTGGAATGTTCCTGGGCCAGAGGTATACTAAGACTCTACTTTAGTCCTGGTTCTGTATGGAAAATTAAGAAGACACGTTTTTTATGATAAAAAACTAGCAAATGAGCTGGGCGGTGGTGGCACACGCCTTTAATCCCAGCACTCGGGAGGCAGAGCCAGGCGGATCTCTGTGAGTTCGAGGCCAGCCTGGACAACCAAGTGAGTTCCAGGAAGGAAAGGCGCAAAGCTACACAGAGAAACCCTGTCTCGAAAAACCAAAAAAAAAAAAAAAAAAAAAAAAAACTAGCAAATGATCTGGGCCTGGTGGTTTCTACCTGTAGTCTGATGAGGTGAGGCAGGATTGAAGGTTCCAAGTCCACTCACTTGCAGCCATTTTTAGTTTATACATTAAGACCTTGTCCCCCAGATGTCAGCAGATAGGACTGTCACTTATTCCTACTTCTATTTTGACATGAAGTTTAACTTTTTTTTTTTTAAACTATGTAGCCCTGGCTAACCTGGACCTCAAGTGATTACCTCGTGAGCACTGGGTGTGCATCACCAGGCCTGACCTTAACATTTTTTTAAAAGGTAGTGACTTAAGTGCAGATAACTATGCATAGATGCACTTGGTACACTGCCCTGTAAAGTTGGTTTCACCCCCTTCTATAATACAGTAGACAGTGGGTACGTGGTCTCAGCCCATGGTCCAATAGGCTCTTCTAAGAGGGAAATAATCTTTATAGGGTGGGGTGTAAGGTGTAGCCCCAGCTTTTCCCTTTTATCCCAGGATTACCTCCGGATGGTAGCTCTTCAGCCCATTGCTAAAGGTCATGAGATTTTCAACACCTATGGGCAGATGGCTAACTGGCAGCTGATTCATATGTACGGTTTTGCTGAGCCCTATCCTGACAACACAGATGATACAGCCGATATTCAGATGGTGACTGTCCGAGACGCTGCACTCCAGGGTGCGTCTGCCCAGCCCAGGTTCCACAATACCTCTGCGGACAGCACTTGGCTTGTGGGGTTCTGTCCACTCACTCTCATCCATTACCTCACAGGAACAAAGGATGAAGCTGAAAGGCTGCTCTTGTGTGAACGCTGGGATTTCCTGTGCAAACTGGAGATGGTAGGGGAAGAGGGAGCCTTTGTGATTGGTCGTGAGGAGGTGTTGACGCAAGAGGAGCTAGCCACCACACTTAAGGTGCAGGGCTGACAGGGTATGGGATGTTGGCATTTAGAATAAGGCCAAACTAAAGACAAGGGTAATCTGTCATGAAGCTCACGGATAGTGGTACATCCTAACTAAAGGGCCCTATGTTCCTTCTAGGTACTGTGCATGCCTGCTGAGGAGTTCAGAGAATATAAAAACCAGGCTGGACAGGGAGGAGAAGAAGAAAGGGAAGAGGACAGTCTCACAATCACAAATATCCCCAAGCTCCAAGTATCATGGAGACGACTTCTTCGAGACAGTGTTCTGTTGACCCTAGAGACTTATGCCACGGACTTACAAACTGAGCAAGATTTACTTAGTAATAAGGAGGTCTATGCCAAGCTCAGCTGGCGGGAACAGCAAGCCTTACAAGTCCGCTATGGCCAGAAGATGATCTTACATCGGTTGTTGGAACTCACAAGTTAGCAGGTGCCCTGAATGACCAGCAGTGAGAATCTTTTAAGATCATGTTTTGCTTGGAAAGGAGGGAAATTTGGGACTTTTGCTATTAGGCAGTATCAAAAGAAAAGTAGCCCAAGGATAGGTTTTAATCTAAGGCAAGAGTTGTTGACATTTTAAGATTGAGATTAGCAGGTTGGGAATCTGCCAACTGGTAAGAACATTCTGTTTTTATTTTTACTAACGTCTTCAGGTTTTTAGTAGAATTTAATAAATATGGACCGAGCTAGACTTTGAGAAGTCCGACCTTTTTGAAGTCCATTTCCTGTAGAGAACTTAGCCTAACGGGGCTCTGCGGCTGCACTTTGCATCTGATCAGTAGTCTAAAGTTGGTTCTCAGGTCACCTTTCAAGGACATGAAGGGTATCCCAGCTTCATTTGGCAAGGTAAATTATAAGTGGAATTGTTTCAACTACTACCTATTCATACCAAAAAAACACCCGAAGAGTTTCTTGAATTCAGTTTAACCACACAGATTTTCTTGCTCCAACAGCTTCCTCCTGTTGAAGCAGAAATACCCTTGCTTGGCATGGTTGTAGTATACCAGTAATCCCAGCTTCCAGGAAGCAGAGGCTGGAAATGGATAATTTGGTCTACATAGTAGTAGGACCTTGACTTAAAAAAAAACAAAAAAACAACTGTAAGTAGTAATGGGAAACTCAGTCATTCATTAAGAAGGGATTGTTTCCAGGAGACTGGGCTATCCACTTTTCTTCCTCACCAGCACTGCTGCTGCCCCTGAGAAAGGCACAGTGGACTCCTATGCATGTTATGACTTTAATGTTTACTGTCTTCACACACAAGAAAGCTGAGTTAGGGCCCAGGAACTACAAAGGCTACAAAATATAACATGGACCTGGCTGCTCTCGGAACATTTAAGATCCTTACAAGAACCAACTGTATTATTGGTCCTTTGGACTCTTGTTATTTAACGAGGCTACAGCCTGAGCATGGTGATGGGCGCCCCTGGCCAGAAATGGTTTCCTCTTCAGGTAATGTCCCTCAGGACCAAAAAGCAGGTTCAGTTTTCCCTGCAGCCAGCTTTGGAGGAAGAAAAGGCAAGCAAACCTCATGGATCTCAACTGTGGACCTTCCTGTGTTCTCAGGCTATTCGAGTCTTGCATGCCTACATTTTTTAGTAACTTTAAAGTGCTGAATTTGTGGAATGCCACAAATGTCAAGAGGACTTAAGTTATGCTCAAGACAAGAGCATGCCATCACGGCCTCTACTGCAAGGTACCAGTTTATGTATTTTCCTTAGACACACTCGGCACAAACCCAAGAAGTTCAGACAAAGAGTTTTCTCTTTCATATATTTACACAAGTTCAAAATGATATTCACAGCATCTTCTAAATTTTGGCCAAGAGTCAAAAAAAAATGCATTTAAACTTTGGAACTTGCCCATATAGACAGGAGGCCAACCCCAGCAATTGATGGGGCAGACACCCAAGAACCAAAGGGCTGGGAAAGTCAGGAGGAGCTGAAAGGACTCTTCAGTTTATCAACTTGGTTCAGTGGGACCAAGGCCGATGCCTCGTCGAGGGCTATGCAGTTCATCTAACTGGCACCAGTCCCTTCCATCACTTGCTGAGCCTGCTTCTGTCCCATGCAGCATTGTGCGACAGACTGGAACAACCTGGAAAGTGAAGACAAGGACAAATTTACTTCACAATGGAGGCCTAAGATAGCTAATGTCCATCAGCTGTAACTGCCCTTGAACTCACAGCCCCAAATTAGAAGCATTCTTTTCTGTCACCCCGCTAGGTACATTTTCAACTCACTTTTCAATCTCTGGGGCACAGTGTACAAACTCATGGTTCCAGAACTTAAATGCTGGGTTTTTAATCAGCTCAATGAAGGTGATAAGAAGACCCCAAGGATGCGGCCTATTTACAATCAACCGTTCCAAGAGAACCCTAAAAAGGGAGAAGGGTTAGTTAATACACAGAGAAACAAATTCACAACTATACCTCCACTGCCTCTTTATTAATCCACTTGGAATTTTTTAACAATACTATAGCATATGTAAATGGGTGGAATTCTTCCTATGTGGCTGCAAGTGCTGGCTTAAACATTCATCTACTGTGACCTGCTAGTTGCAATGCTTTGTTCTCATTTTGTTTCCTGGGGGCAAAGATTTAGACCTAATTACAAGCAAAATGGTACATCGTCATCCAAGCATGCAATAAACACAGTTCAGATGTTTATGAGAACCCTGAGCAGCACCAGTATTTAGTCAGGTGAATAGGTAAATTAAAAGGTTTTTGTTCTTTTTCTTTTTTCCCCTCCCAAGAGGGTTTCTCTGTGTAGCCCTGGCTGTCCTTGAACTCAGCAATCCACCTGCCTCTGCCTCCTCAGTGCTGGGATTAAAGGTGTGTGCCACCACACCTGGTGTAAATTAAAGTCTTTAAGGTATGTGTACTTAGTGAAGTACTATGTACCAATTTCCAATCCTATACATATTTAAACAGAAAACAGGGTACATACAAAGAAGTCTGTGTTATTCAAGATTCTGGATACAAATGCTGTTGCCACTGCCACCACCAAGAAACAAGTATGTTGCTTTTACTGTAAACTATTCCCCAGTATTGCAAAACAAACTACTGTCAGTATCAACTTGTTTTGTAATTCTGCAGATGTGGTTAGTATAAGATAGCTAAACTGGGAATACACACAACTCCATTCAGAGTACAGGGGAGAAGGGCCCTTTTAAGGCATCTTGACAATAAATCTCTCTCTCACCTTGTGATCTGTTCCTGGATTGCCTCGGTGTTTGCCTCAGCAAACAGGTACAGCATGGTGCAGCTGAAGTAGTGAGTGTGGCTGTTTGGGTACCGCAGCTGGTTTGCAATTGCATTTAAGAAGAGATACCGGCCTAAAGATTGAGGAGACTGGATTTAGGGTTCACTCTGAAAGCCAATATGGGAGACAAATGCTTGTTTCTGAGGGGGACTGATACGTAAGGGAGCTCACTTTTAACAACACAGAATTAGCATGGCCCTTGTGCAAGGATGACATGAAAATCTATGAAGGTTATTCAATAGGTTTTTTTGAAATACTTTCCATGTTATGAATTAGCAAAATTCTTACATATTGGTTGTGTTTTTTTTTTTAACATTGTGTTTAACCTACATGTTAATAAAAATATTTTACTAAAAATCTTAAGGGGCCAGAGAGATGGCTCAGAGGTTAAGAGCACTGGCTGCCCTCCCAGAGGACCTAGGTTCAGTTCCCAGCAACCAATTCACAGCTCACAACTGTTTGTAATTCCAGGGGATCCAATACTTCACAGATACACATGTAGGCAAACATCAATGCAAGCAAATAAATCATTTAAAAAAAACCATAAGTGAAGGCCACTGTTCTTTATTCTACAGATCTCCTTTAATGTCTCAACAGTGGAGACCTAGTTCTGCAGTTTCACCTCCTGTCAGATAAAACACTATCTCATCTAGCACTTGGAAAATTGCTGTGTATACTTTGAAGTAAGCACAATGAAAGAAATGTCTTCCTATGATGGAAACAGTCCTGGCCTCAAAGCCCTTATCTTCAGGGGCTTGCCCCTAAAGATCCTTATACTTTGAAAAGCAATGGTATATTGGTAGAATAATGGGGGAAGGGAGTATCAAATCCAGAATCTTTCACCATGTACAGATGGCAATAGATCTCTTATTCAGATTTGATTATCTTGTTTGTACAGCTATCACAAGGACCCTTAAACACCAAAGGATGTAACAAAATTCGATTGTTAAACTTTGCTTTTATGCTCAAATATCTTCTGAAAATAGGTAAGTACAATACCAATCTATATATCAAATACAGTTATCCTTTCAGGATATGTAGCAAAGTTAAAAGTAACAGTCCTAAAGTACACTGTAAAAATAAATCGGTCATATGCCCCAAACCCACAACATCCTATTCCCAGCACTTGCTCAGCCATGTTCACTGCTGCTCTATTCCTAACAACTAAGAACTGGAAACAATAATGGGAATGCACATTTACACTACGGACCACTTATTCAGGCTGACAATGCTCCCCGGAGCCAAAGAAAGAATCGTCAACTCTGCAGGTAAACTGATCTAGTAGAAATGATCTGAGGTGAGCAATGACAAACATCTCATGTTCTCTTTCTCTCACTGCAGGATCTTGGTTCCAAATCTTCAGATGTGAGTACACATCCTGGAGTAATTGGGGAAAGAATAAAAGCAAGGGATGCCTGAAAAAGTCATAAGGAACCATACTATTAACTATTTCTTAAAAAAAAAACTATAATACATATAAATCTGTGTTTAATATAGTTTAATGAAATTTTCTCATCGAGGGTTGACACCAAAAACCACCTAATCAAAAAAACCTCAACACCAGAATGAAACGCCCTTGAGTTGTTGGTCAGTGCTATCCAAGAGACTTCCAAAACATAGATTGTTGCTATATTGCCTTTGGTTGGCCCCAGAGATCAAAGGTAAGTTCCTCCACCTTTTGCTGAAGACACCATGCATGCACTTCCGACACCGGGCCCTGAGTTCTCTAAGCCTGGAACTGACCTGAATGCCTCTTCCCTGAAGACTAGCTTTCAAGATACCAGAAGGCATCATGCAAGCTTCCAGAGGGAGGAAACCAGCAGTCCTACCCAGCTGTGATGCCTATGAACCACACCAGTGACCAGCATGGCACGATAGATATCCCTAAAGGTGCAGTAGTGGTACAAACACCTTGGTGGTAACCAACAGCTCTTCCATTGAACTTAAGACCCACTCAACAAGGGTAACCATGCCTGGTACTGGAAACCTAGCCAAGTACCCAGGGCTAGTGAAGTCATGGATCTTGGAGGAGAAGCTACAACACTACTGCACTAAACCAGCACAATCCCTAATTACACTCTAAATATCTGAAATAGTTGTCCACATACCCACAGTAAGTCTAATTCTAACCCTTCATCAAGGAAACTTATCTTTGCAACAGAGGCAACCACAACCAGTCAAAATGCTGAGTTGTGAAAGCAATGGCTGCATCTACAGAGTACTCCCACGCCTAGGGTCCAGGAGACACTGAACAAGAAGGAGGTGGAGACACTGTAAGAGCCAAAGGATCAAACAGTTTGCTGTGAGATCGTGCTTCCTAGGAATGTCAGGAACTACACTCAAAGTCTCACCAACTGCCTAAACACGAGCTGACCAAGGACAACAACAACAGACATGCCACAGAACAACTACAGGCAACTAAGGAAGG